AAAAAATATAAATTTAAATTATAAAAAATAAGTATTTATTTTATTATTTTGGTGTCAAATTTTTATATTGCTTAACACGATATGTAATTATTTAAATATAAACAAACAAAGTTGACGGGTCAATAACCTTTTTAAGATTATTGCTGCAGGCTACTCCATTTTCTCCTTAGAACAAGTTGAGTCGGTCACGCAATTATCTTTAATTATTGCAGCATAAACAAACAAAGCATGATAGTGTGAGAGGATAAATGCAGAATCAAATAAATGATTTATAAATGCAGCTGTTTTGCTTTGGTTATCTGTCAAAATTATTCTAACATGGTGCATTTAATTGCGAAATTGGACTCTCGTTAATCCAATTGTCAATGTCAAATCATTTTCATTCGATGACCAGGGACTTTATTTTTTTATTTATTTTTTGGGTTAGCAACATTAATAGTTTTAAAAATTTACCAGAAGCTTTCTTCAATTCACTATTTATGTTCATTTAATTAATTTAAATTTTATTATTTTAATAAATAAAACATTTATATTAATATTTTTAAGAATATTTTAAATTTTAAATTTAAATTAAAAAATATATAATAATAAAATATTCTCACAAACCAAATCAGACTACAAAATTTTAACTAAATTTCAATCCAAATCAAATCATCCCTAAAATCTAATGAGTCATGCCCGACTCATGGACATGTTTAAAAAATGCCCACTTTTTTCTTATTTCTACTCTTATAATATTAGCTTTCATTTCAATAAATTTAGAGAAAACTTTGTCAAAACAAAATTTTCAAAAATGAAAAAAAAAGGTCATAATCGCTTATTATGAGTCATGAAATATGCCCGAGATCGTGGCTGGCTCGACGTGGCCGTTGGGCCTTGGAGCATGCATGTGCATGAGAATTGTAGGAGACGAAGCAATGTGCGAACATATATGGCAATTGGCAAGTGTAACTATCGTGTAAAATAACAGTTTCCAAATTAAAAAAAATATATGGAAAATTAATTTTGCCAAAAAAGTAAACAATTCACCCCATTACTTCACATTTTTTATATTAATAGTAGAGCTACTTTATATGAAAAATTTTGTAGTACGTTTTTAAGTTACTCAAAATTTGTTTGATAGGGTAGAAAAAAAAATAAAAGAAAATGTTTTATATATTTAATTTTTTAACATTAAGAATGAGGTAAGACATAATAAAATCAAAGAGCTTACTATTAAGTGGATATTATGTTATTATAATAAAAAATTATAATTTTATATTCAAATTAAATCTTTACACCTGACTTTAGGTTGCTTGTTTAACAATATTAATAATAATTTTATTATTATTTTTATGTTACAAAATTATGAAAAAGATATTAAGATATATGAGTCTTAAGTTTTATGAATGTCAAAATATGCACATTGTTTAATATTTATCCTTTTATTTTCACATATAAGATGCTATTGTAAAATAATTTAACTTTGTCATTATTCTTCTCATTTGCTAAATGGTTCAAAGTAATAACAGAAAATGCCTAGTTTTCCACCGTATATACTTAAAAGTTTTTCGTGCAAAACAAAAATAAAAATGTGTCCTCTCATTTTTTTTCTTATCTCTCTTATTTTCTATTATTTTTTTATATTTTTACGAAAGAAAACCTGATTGGTTGTTTTAATACATTTTTCAATTATTTGAAAGATGTAATGTAAAATTTTTGTGTTTTTTTTTAAAGCGAATAATTCTTAAATCCATTTTATATTCCTAGTGTTGATTTATTATTAGTTTTTGTCAATAACATAAAAAGTTAAAAAAAAAAAAAAAGGCGAGAAATAATGGTACAAAATCTCAGAAGAAAAGACAAGGTGACCCTTGCCACTGACAAGGAAGGCGGGCACAGTAGAGTTTCCTTCGGGATTGGAGCGTAGCATTAAAGGCGCGTGGAAATTTTGCATGAAAAAGAAAGAACTACGGAATTTGATTTTTCAATTTCTGCTAAAATAAAAAATAAAAAAATAAATATTTACCCACGTGAGAATCGAGATAGACAGGCGACAGCTCGTTGGTGAGTTAAGCGGCCCACTCACATAACGATCATTCGATTACGTCATGGCTCCGCTAATGACCGACGAGAGAAACAATTTTTAAAGTTTTAGGTTATATTTGATGTATATAAGATTAGTAATAATTATAAAAAAATAATTGTTTTATATTATATTTTATTTATATTTAAAGAAAATGATAAAAATTGTAAGAAAATTTAATATTTTATTGATATAAGATTATTTATTTTTTTAAGTGAAAAAGATTATTTTTATTTTATTATATTAAATTTACATATTTAATTATATTTTTAAAAATAATATCAATAATTTAAATTGTATAAATTTTGAAAAAAATAATTTTAACAAATCAATAAATTATTTTATTTTAATTCTTATATACATCAAACATAAGATAGAATAATATTATTTAATCTAATTTTATTTATAATATTATTTTATTTTATCTTATCTTAATTTTATATACCAAATATGACTTTAGTTTATTAAACTATTAATTTTTTTAAATGAGCTTATTTTTATGGATTTTTTTTCAATTAAATCATTAAATTTCTTAAAATTATAACCCGATTTAATTTTTTATATAATAGAAATTAAATTTTTAATATTCTATCTATATCATGGACAATTGACAATCAAACTTATTTGTTTGCACAATAATTGATATTTATTTTAAAATTTTAAAATATTTGAGTTAATTGTCCAAATTTAAGGTTAAGATGCATGTATGTATTTTTTTACATAATTTCAACAATTATATAGTTTATTAGTATAATGTTAAAGTTTTATTTTTAATTATTAATTTTTAAATTTTGATAATTTTAAATAAATATAACAGAGAGATTTTACATTCTAAACAGTGATAATAAATAATTACGAAAATACCAACTTGAAATCTACTTATTAGTGAAATGGGAGAATTAAAACATATTGAACAAGTAGTTGATTTGGTATTTTTATATTAGAGTTAATATTTAATACACTATTAATATAATTTTATAATTTTATAAATGATATTAAGAAATTGATACATTTTTTTAAAATTTTTTAAAATATATCTTAAAAATATATATTATAATCTTAATTTCTATGTAAAATCTAAAAATTTTCATTATTCATATGTTTAATAAATTTTCTTTGTATTATAATATAAACTTCTTGGTACAAGATGACGGTGGCAAGGGAGAGTGGGACAATGTGTGACCATGGAATATGAGGGACCATATATATTTTTTGCCGCACATTGCCTTGTCAATTTTGTCACATCCAAGATTACTACAACTAGTAATATCGTTGATATATTTGAAATGGAAAGGAATAGTGAAATCTAATCAATTAATGTGTGCTTAGCAAGTGGAAGACAACAAATTCAATGATTGAAAATTTATAATCTTATTAATCAAATTAACATTTGTATGATTTATTGATAAAATGTTAAATTTTTAATTTTAATGATTAAATATTAATTTTTGATAATCTAAACTAAAAAAAATTAATTTGTTTAATTGGTTCATCAACTATGATATCATTTGTGTTGCTTTGATTACGTCTGTTTTATGTTCAATTTTCAAGTTTGACATTGGAAAATATTGAAAATATACTATAATAGATTGTTAAAGTGATAATAATTGGATGTTTGCCTTCAAATCAAAGGAAAATTTTCATTGTTAGGTACAGGTAATGAATTTTGCATCGCCTTTGCAAGTTACAAGTAAATATAATTTTAACTAAATTTTAAATTCCGACAGTTATAAGTATAAAACATATTGAATATAATAAAATTACATACTATAAAAATAATTAACATTGATAAATTGTATGTTAATCAAGATTTTCATCTATATTTAAAGTTATCTTTTGTGCAAAACATATCAAATTAGCATAAGTTTATTGCTTTTAATGTTTATGTAAAATTAGAATTTTAAAGATAAAACAATTCAATGTCTATATTTACTTATTTTTATTTATCAAAAAAATCCATTTAATTTTTAGTATATTAACATAAGCTTATCGCTTTTAATATTAATGTAAAATTATAATTCTAAAGATAAAATAATTCAATATAAACTAACTTTTTTTGTCCATCAAATAAATCTATTTAATGAAAGTTTTTCAATCAAATTGAAATTCTTATTTATAAATTTGATAAAATTTATTAACATTTTATAATAAAAAATTTTGAAAATGATAATTTACAAATATAATAGACAAAAACAGCTCGTTTCCATTGATCAATTGTTTTACTAACATATGTACTTTTATATGTTAACATTATAAAATATAGATATATAAATAGTATTTAAGTTGTGATATTATAAGAAAAATTGAATTTATAACGCGTGGATCAACTAGTTACAACTAGTTTTTGATTAAATTTGAAAAAAATATTATATATAAAGTCTCTTTTTATACATTAATATTCAAAAATTTAATTTCATAAATAAAATTAAAAAAGCTATTACATATCTTATTTTTTATCAGTTTTTTAAATTTATTTTAATGATATGTATTCCCAAAAAATTTTACTACTTGTTAAATAATGGCATGAAATATATAGTTTATTTTTGTAAAGCTAAACAAGACAATTAATTTTGCTATATGCTTAACTTTCATGAATTTTTTTATTTTTCAAAGTCAATTAATCCAAGATATTAGTTATTTCATAAAACAAAATTTCCAATTTTTTATATTAATACCGACAAAATGATCCAATAATTATTATAGATATAAAATAATAGTAATCCTTAATATTGCTTCATCTGTCCAATCTAAATACGCTTTCATCAGGAAAAAATCCCGTGCTCCAAACACCAGACAGCATCCCTTTCAATCTTCCACGTGTCCCTCTCTTCAGTCGAGTACAACAAGTGGCTACACTCGCGAGTACGCTTTAAGCCCGCTCCATCAAGTAATGTAGCCGTGTAAAAGGGTCACATCTTCTCTCTCTCCCTCTCCCTCTCCCTCTCATTTCCCTCCTTTCCACATATATACAGGCCACATTTATTTTTCCCTTCTCTATCTCCAAATCTCTCCTCTATTTTGTTAGCGCTGCAAATAATTTTCCTTCGTCACAGCCGGCGTTCAAAGATCGCAAAAACCGGTGTCGTTTCAAATGGCAACGAGAATCGATTTGGACGGGAGGCCAATAAAGCCGATAACGATATGCATGATTGGAGCCGGAGGCTTCATTGGCTCTCACCTTTGCGAGAAACTGATGGCGGAGACGCCGCACAAGGTGCTCGCCTTGGATGTTTACAATGACAAGATCAAGCACCTCCTTGAGCCTGACTCTCTTCCTTGGGCTAATCGAATCCAGTTCCACCGACTTAACATCAAGCACGATTCTAGGCTCGAAGGTCTTATCAAGATGGCAGATCTCGTAATTTCTTGCATTTTTTGCCCTCTCTCTTTTGCTACCATTGCTATTTCTTTTTGTGTTTGAAACATGAGATCGCCGATCTTTTGATTTTTCTCTTTAATTTTCGCTAAAATGCTTTCACTTTTTGCCTTTAATATGTTAGATCTGGTTCAATTCGCTTTCTTTGTTGGTGTGATTTTAGGTTTTTTTCTTGAGCTAATTCACTCTAAATGTTGATTAAAAGTTAATTTTCTGATTTATTGATTGTCAAAAAGTTCTAGCCTGATTTATGGCGATTGATTTAGTTTTTAATGTTTGCGACAATATAGACGATAAATCTTGCGGCGATCTGTACTCCAGCAGACTATAATACGCGTCCACTCGACACGATTTACAGCAATTTTATTGATGCACTTCCTGTGGTAAGCATTTCTGTTATAACGTTGTCGTTTTTTGCTTTCTATTTGGTTTGGTTGATATTGATGTGAGCGATGAGAGATTTGATTGTTACTGAACTTTTCGAGATTGAAGTTGAAATTAATGTTGTGGTTTGATAGGTGAAGTACTGTTCAGAGAACAACAAGCGTCTCATTCACTTCTCTACTTGTGAAGTGTATGGCAAAACCATTGGAAGCTTTCTTCCTAAAGATTCTCCTCTCCGTCAGGTAACCTTTCACTTTCTCTTTTTTATTTACTAAACTGAGAATCATTTGAAAGAGAGAATTCATTATATCCATGTATGGTTTAGTAAAGGTCTGTTGGTGCTGTTGTTATATTCAAGGTTTATGGTTTATTCTTTAATATAGATATTTAATATTTTTGAAAAGGATATTTAAAGTTGGTATTGAGATGAAATGGTAAGATATATGGGTTTAAATGACTAAATCTAGATACTTGGATGGTGGTTAGTTTATTTGTGTATGCTTCTTACTAAATGTCTTTGAATATTTACAATTTTCTGGGATTTGTCTTGTCTTATGGTCAGCAAACATTGGTCAACCTTCCTCCAAAAAAAAAAAAATGGAAGGTGTGTGGGGGGGGGGGGTTTATGTGACGATTTATTGAGGTAGTTGAATGATGGATTATTAAATCTTATTAGTCTATCATGGTTGTATCCATGATTGGTTTATACTTTTCAAAGTTAGCCATTTTTGTCAACTGGATTTTACTTGTTTAAGAGTTTGAACTTTTTGTTATTCCTAGAGTGCCCTGCTGATGAACCTGCTGATTGATGAATAAGAGGTTAAACCAGCCTCCAGTCTTGCAAGATACAATTCATGTACTGGTCGTTGATTTGTTCTTTTCTGGTTTAGAAATTTTGTTGAATATTATTTGTTTTCTCTTGTTTGTTAGTCATGCTTACCGTACAAAACTGACAGTGGAACTATCTTATTTTGGTTTTATTTGTCCTGGTACTAGAGGTCTTTGGAAAAGGTTATTGTTTATTCATTTGCTTAACAAGGCAGAAAGGTTAAAATTAGGTCATTTTTTAAAGGAATTTTGTTTCGTAAGCAAGCTTTGTTTTGCGCCGAGTTTATGTATCTCTAAGTCTGTGGTGATATTGAAATTTATTTAATACACCAATTTTTTCTACTTAAAACTTTCAAGTTTTCATTTGTGCTATTGTTTCTTTGTTACCTCCTTATTTCTAGGTGACATTAACATGTTTGTTACTTTACATAGTTTAAATCATTTACTCTTTTTATAATTGATGTGATAGGATCCTGCCTATTATGTTCTTAAGGAAGATGCCTCGCCCTGCATTTTTGGTTCAATTGAGAAGCAGAGGTGGTCATATGCATGTGCTAAGCAATTGATTGAGAGGCTTATTTATGGTTAGCATCTTGACTGATGATCTGGCCCTTATTGAAATGCTTCAAACATAATTTCTGACTTATTTTCTTATCCATTGCAGCTGAGGGAGCTGAGAATGGCCTTGATTTCACCATTGTGAGACCTTTTAACTGGATTGGACCTAGGATGGATTTTATCCCTGGCATTGATGGTCCAAGCGAGGGTGTTCCAAGAGTTCTGGCATGCTTTAGTAATGTTAGTTGAACCTTTTTCACAGTTCTGGAGAATGGCCTAGAATGCCATCTATTATGTCTCTTTTCGATGTTTTGAAAGTCTTAGTTTTAATGATGATTTATCATTTTCCTGGTCAGAATCTCTTACGCCGTGAGCCACTAAAGCTTGTGGATGGTGGTCAATCTCAGAGAACTTTTGTTTACATAAAGGATGCTATTGAAGCCGTTCTCTCAATGATTGTGCGTACTAACTCTCCTCTCTACCACTTCCTCACCTTACCTCACCCTCTCCCATCCCTCCCTATATCCCCATATCTGGCCAGCCACACAAAGTAACTAAGTTAGTATTGTCTTCTGTACAGGAAAATCCAGACAGAGCCAATGGTCAGATTTTCAATGTGGGCAATCCAAATAATGAAGTCACAGTTAGGCAACTTGCCGAAATGATGACTGAGGTGAAGCACATGATTGATGATATATAGTTTCTATTATTCATATCGTTATTTTTGTTTATGGTTATGTATTGATCATACGTAATTTATAACTGTATGCCTTTGGACTCTTAAGGTCTACAGCAAGGTTAGTGGAGAACCTGCTTTGGAGTCACCAACAATTGACGTCAGCTCCAAGGAATTTTATGGCGAGGGATATGATGATAGTGACAAGAGAATTCCGGACATGACCATAATAAATAGACAACTTGGTATTTTCTTTTTTTCTTGGTTGTTATCATGATCTTTAGTTTCTCCATATGATAATTTGAGTATCTGACTATGATTTACACTGCATTAGGTTGGAACCCCAAGACATCGCTTTGGGACTTGCTTGAATCGACCCTTACCTACCAACACAGGACTTATGCAGAGGCTGTTAAGAAATCTATGGTAAAACCTATTGCATCCTAAGGAGACAAGATGTTTAGACCACGCCTAAGAAAGGACTCACATAAAAATGTGCTTGTTCCCAAATGTTTCAAGTCTTTATATTTAGGAAGTCTTAAATATATCTTAATTGTTGATTTTCCTTATATGCTAGATCTTTTTGTCTTCCCTGTGTCGATAGTCAATAGCTCTAACTCTGTAGCTCAGGCAGCTATGTTCTCAGTATGGTATTTATGTGGAGACCCTAGATTCTACTAGGGAACGGTATTGTGTTAGTGTTATCATATAAATTATTCCAATAGAGCTTTGAGCTACAGCATGTTGGGTGGGTATTGTCGGAGGAAAGGAAAGCTGTTATCGTTTCTTAGGGGGTTTGCCTGCCATTCCTCAATTTTGTCTCTCCTGGGTTTTGTTGTACCTATTAACTTGTTTGACTCTCTCAGGCACATTTTCGTAAATTATTATTTTATTATTTTCATGCAAGTAAGTTCCAAGTTCAGCACTACTGAAGAGCTGTTTTGTGGTTTGTTACTCTTTAAGGCTAAATTGTAAGATTAATCAAGCGACAAATTTTGGGAACTTACTATGTTAAATGTTTTTGGTTAAATTCTAAATTTATGATTTAACCTTTAACCTGATTTTTAATTAAGGATTAACCGTTTTGTTTGATCTATACGATTTGGGTTTTAACGCGTAAAAATTATGTTTTTATGGATTTGGTCCAAACGATTTGGGTTTGCGTAACTCTAATAGCTGGCCCAAAAAACTAAACTTGGCAGCTGACTACTAATGAAATTTTATTTTTTTTTTTTCACTTACGTTGTTTTCTCTACAAGTTAATTCTCTCCCACAAAATTTTCATATCTACCGTGACAGTTCAGAATCCAGCATGCACCGTGACAATTCAAAATCCAACGTCACGTGTGTAACGTCCGTCATCACGACCTGTGGCTGCTATGATTTTTAGGGAACAAAAAAAAAAAAAAAACAGCTCAAGTATATAAAGATTTTTAAGCATGTGATTCAATAATAAATGCTTATAAAAAATCAAATGATCACGGCAAATTCACGGTCCTTTCTCAGGCCCACGTAAAATTGGTTTTGGAGCAATCTCCACTGTTTCCTGTGACCTGTAAGAATACGTTTTATGTGCAAAATTATAATAATATAATATTATAAATAATATTATTTTATTTTATTTTTTATGTGTATAAAGATTAAAATAAAATAATTTTATTCATTAATCAAAATTATATTTACTTGAAATTTATATAATTTAAATTATTAATATAATTTTTAAAAATATAATAAAAAATATAAATTTAATATCATAAATTAAAAATAATTATCTTCATTTTGAATTATTCTATAATAAAAAATAATTAATCCTCCTTGCAATATTAATTTTTTTAAATATAAACTAAATATAATATAAAACTATTATCATTTTATCTATCCAACATCTATACACACCAGAGATGATCCAATAGAATAATCCGGCGGGCTTTGATTAGCCCAGATTTTCTCAAGTCCAAAAAGCCTTTTTCTCCAATTAACGTTAGCCCAAAAAAAAAAAGAAACAGTTGGTTCTTTTTGTGGATTTGAGAATGCAAACGTAAAGTAATTGTGGCCTCCTTTCTCGCACCCCCGTTTAACAAAAATCTCCATGCACCATAGTTGTATCACATGCCATTTGTTAAAATAAGAAAAACACACTTTAATCATTACCCGTCCTTCAAATCTCCATTTATAGTTAATAAAAGGAAAAAAAAAAGTGTGATTCTTGGATTACGTTTGTTCGAAGAAATTGCTTGAAATTGACTGACAAGAATGGTGTCTGTTGCTTCTTCTATTACTACATATTCACGTTTTCTCCAGATGTCTGGCCTACTGAATCATGAAAAATGTCCCTCTTGCATGTGCTGATCATTGAATTCACCTTTTCTTTTTCAGAAATTAAAATAAATCCTCTTGGGTCTAATCCATTTTATAATCAAAATAACAGTTTGGATTTGTGATGTGAAAAAATTTTGAGGCAAAGGAAATAGTAGCCAAGAAAATGACAGTGTTGGTGTTTTAAAAGGGCATAAGTTAGCCATGCGAAGCCTTCAACATGACTATTGAAAACCATCAAAACCTCTCAATTATACTTAAAATCCATAATGTCTTCATCAAATAACGTGATTTTCTTTTGGCAATGAGGCAGATGAGATGCTTAAGCAATTACCGTTGATTGTGAACTGTGAAAAAATGTTGAAAATTAAAAGGAGGAAAGGGAAACAACATTTTGAAATGAAACGTCTTGGTTAAAGACAAAAGAGAAAAAAAGAAGCAATGAGCACAAATCAACTTCACTGGCCCATGTTAGTTAGAAAGCAATTTCTTCTTCCAAGGAACATTTCTGTCACTCTCACTGTCTAGTTTTTGCATGATTTTCTACTTCAAGGAATCGTAATACTTACCTTTGATTATATATATATGAAATTCAACATGATGTTCAGCCTCTTGACATGTTCATATTTGGCAAAAATTATGTTTAGATATATTTTTATATAATTTTCACCATTAATCATTGACAATGAAATAGTTTTATTTTTTAGTAAATCGATTATTGTTTGTCTGAATGCAGTTAGCATCAAGAGCGATATCATCATCTGATGAATTTTATTAAGAAATTTAGAGGTTGGTGATTAGTGGGAATTTGTTTAAAATTTTTCTTTGTCGACTATCCAAAGAGGAAGCAGAAAAGGTTGAATAGGGCAGTTTTTTCTTGGATGACACACTACTTCTGAAAGATTCTAATTCTATGCTTTTCTTTGCCTTCAAAAGGAGATCGTGGGATGCCCCAATAGAATATAGAAATAAGAAATTTCTTCATACTTTCATTAACCACTTTGGATCTTCATTGCATCATCATCATCATCATCATCAAACTTTTGGTTGTTGAAAATCAAATAGGGGCCCTGGGCCAGGACCTCCATGTTCAATTTACTTTGACTGGAGCAGCAAAATATGCTCCAATCAGAGAAAAAAGTTGATAATTATCTTTTATGAACAAGTCACCTGCCCAGGAATGATTTTGAAAGCAAATTCCAAAGACTGGTTCAGTTTCTGAAATCTTCTGCAGAACTGAGATAGAGTTTCAGTAACAGATTTGATGAGGGAAAAATTTTGGTCAATAAAGGACAGCATAACCTTTTAGTTTTGCCATGTTTTTGCCTATGTCACACAGTGGAAAGAGGACCACTGCTCCTGTATATGTTCAGTTGAAGCCAAATCAACACATGTGTTCCAATTTTTCCATGTTAGAAAAGGTCCAAATGCATAAGATGGGGATCTTTTATGTCTTTAGTGGCAGTGAAAGCTAAATGCATGCTATAGTATTTGATCAGTAGAAATTTGAGCTGGAAAGAAAAGGACTACTTTGATTGCAATGTTGGGCCCTTCTGAAGTAGAAAATGGAAAATACTAGTAGGGGACTTGGAGCCAATTCTAGTTAAGTTCGATGATATAGAAATACTGTGTTATATTAAGAATTTTATAGTAAAAGAAATACTATAGAAATATATGGAAAACCCATAGTTTAAATGTAAATAAACTTTTTCCTGCAATGGTTTTTTTTTCTTTTTTTGTTACAAAGGAGAAAGTGACCCTACTGAAGGACTATTCTAAGGTAAACATACACCAAAAACATCATTAAGTAACAACAGCCCAAGACCATATGGACGCTGAAAAAAACATACGAAGATCCAAGGATAATTGCTCCGTAAGGCAAGGACCTTCCTTTTTTTTTTTTTATGTATATTTACAAAGAAAATCCTCCTGCTAAGTAAAATGATATAAAAAAAATTATTTAATTTCAAGATATGCATCTTTTTCTTTTTTGAAAAAAAAAAAAAAAAGATGTATCAAAAGGATTCAACTAAAGCAAGTTATCATTTGGATGTATGGTGCATCAATCTATATATATATGCTGTAAATTACATGGTCTATTTTGAGATAGCCTGACCATAAAAAGGAAGAGAAATACTCCACCATGCATCATCATTGATGTAATAGGCAGCCTAACCTAAACAAGGCATTCTTTTGGTGAAATTTTCATTATTACGTGCACTTAGCTAGACTATAACCCCTTTGTTGGGCAAACTTGTGTCAATGTCATTTTGAGCAAAGGCAAAATAAAAATATATAATGCTATACAAATTAGAAAAACGAAACAACTAAAGAGTAATATTGAAATTATAATAATCATAATGTGTGGTTATATTCTCTGTGAATTATTTGATGAAAAAAAAAATCATGAGGATTTTTTGTTTTCACATATCCTTTAACCCATTTTAAGAGTTAATTATTCATGAGGATTTCATATTTTATTGTAGTTTTTCTTTTCTCTAATACAAATTGGTTAAGGCCTGATTTGGATTTCAACGGAACCACAGTGAAACGCGATTTAAGACGTGAATCGTGCAATTTTTGTGCTTGGGTGACACCGGTGCGATGTACCACCATGATGGAGCTTTCAGTTACTTACTGGAGCCTCATTGGTCCAATGAAAAGTTTTTAGCTTCAACTGCAATTTTTTTCCATTTTTATCCTCCTTTGTTTTATATTTTTTTTTCTATTTTGTTTATTTTTAATTTTTTATTTAAAAGTTTTCAAAATGATTTTTTTATAAGATAAAATTATTTATTATTAATATTTACTAACAAAACTATTATTTAACATAAAAATAATTTTTTATTTTTTTAATAATTTATTAATTTTATAAATTGTAAATAATTAATTTTTTTTTTACATATAACTTTTCAAAAATGTTATAAATTCAATATATAATCTTATAATAATATTTTTATTATTTATTAATTTTTATAAATTAAATAATTTAAAGTTTTTTTACATATAAAATTTAAACAAATGTTCTTAATAATCATTTTTCATTTAATTATAATTTATTTCATAATTACCATTGTATTTATATATAAACATATATATTTATTATTGATTTTAATCTCATTGTTATAATAATTAATTTTACTTCTACTATTATTTTTAATCTCATCAAAACTAATTTTATCGTCCACCAAATAAACCTAAAATTATTTGATCAGTTCAGCCATCTTTTCCTTGTTTCTGTTCTGTCTTATGACCTGATCTTGTACAGTAATGCCCCGCTGATAAATGATTATGGAACCTACAATGGCAAGAAATTAAGGCTTTTAATCCTGTGCTTGTGGCTTTGCTTTTTTGCTTTGATTTTTTTCTTTTTTTTTTGAAGGTGGGGGAGGTTGAGACTCCAAAATATTTGCTTGTTTGAAAGAGCATGTGAGTTATGATTAATATTTATAGCACAGGCTACCCTTTTAGCTAACCCAACTCATCATTTTGGACAACCAGGCTAGCAATCACGACACAACCACTGCATGTTCCTCACTTCACCTAATTATTGTATGGGACTGAGGCATATAGTACCAGTTTAACACTGTCTATTTACTCAAACTGTCAAACATCTAAACTTGATCACCTGATCAAGTACCAAGTTCAATCAATGCCAGCTGATACCAAGAACCTTTAATGGCTTAACCCAACCCCAACTATTCCTTTGAACCGAACAACCCTTAATTGTTTCAAGTAGTGGAAATCTTTTACTTATCTTCATAGTTTATCCTTCATGAAAAGAGCAATACTATTTCAGTGAACATTTCAGCTTTTAAAAACATTGATGCATAAGAATAATTTTCTCAACTTAGAGAAATAACAATAATGAAGTGTAGCAGTAATAAAAATTTCCAAACTTCCTTCGGAGGGACGCTCCGTCCTTTGCCGTTTGTAACAGGGTAAAGTACTCAGACAAAATCTTAAACACTTGGAGCTTCAAAAAGTCACCACTCACCACGCGTTTTCCATTATGATGATTTGGGATTGCAGGCAGAGATTTAGACAAAAGAGCCTGAGACATACAAAATTATAGTGTCATTTCTTCTTTTTTATTTATTTTTACTTTTCTCTCTTATCATTTGCCTTGTCCCATTGCCTCCCCTCGTTTTCTCCTTCTTGGCCGGCTAAAGCCAGACCCTCCCCATCTGCCCGTCACTTCACTTTTTTTTCCCTCTCTTTGTGTGTTTTTTTTTTCAACTTTGACCCACTTTTTTTTAATTTTTTAAATACTACTAGTACTACCAGTACTGTATTTTATAATCTAAAAAAAAAGAAAAAACATAGATTCTGTTACATTTACCCCCTCCTGTCCAGCCCTGCCTGGTGGTTTCTCTGTCGTGATCTGTGCATGCTTTTTCTGTGCCATTAAACATATTTATTCTCTTTTTTTTTTAAACCAAAGGAAACTTGGGTATTTTTTATTTTATTGTGTTTTGCTTTGTTTATATTTTTTTTCAGGTTAGGTGTTTAGTTTAGTTTAGTTTAGTGTAGTAATATATATAAATGGTCCATGAAATGGGCATGGAGATGGAGTTCCAGCTTTTGTTGAAGGAAGACAAGAAACTTGGTAGTTTTATTTTCTTAGCTGTAAAGTTCCACTGTTGCCCACACGCCCCCATTTAACCTCTGTCCCTGTCTGTGTGGTTCTCTTTCTTTGTTCCTTTTTTTTTTAAAAGAGAAATTTTAAAATTTAATCTACATGAAGAATTACACTACTATGCTTTTCATTTTTAAATTTTGATTTTTGGGGTTTTTTCCTTTTGTGGGAAGGCATTTATTATAAGACCCCCAATTCAAAGTTTGGGGTCTTTCCCTTTCTCTCTCAGTCATGGCACCTGCCAAGGTTTCTGGGTTTTATAGACAAGGAAATGACTGGTAAGCTCTAACACTTTAATCCATCTTGTAATTGAAGTTTGTTTACAGTTCTTTGCGCTTTTTTGTTTTCTGGGTTGTCTTTTTTTTATTCAATTTTGAGACTAATTTTGAAATATTACTGTTTTTTCCCTCTAATCCAAGAATGAATAAGAAAGTTATAAGAAAGTTATAAGCTCTCTATGTTATGATCAAGTTATACTCGTTCTCATAGTTTGGGTTTATAGTAGAGAGACAAAGAGATTAACTTTGGCGGCTATAAGCAAAACTATTCATTTCTAATGGAGTGAAGTAATTATGTTTATAATGCGGTTTTTATGGCTTTTGCAGGTTTTGCAATGCAGGGTTGCCAAGTGATATAACCATTTTCGTGGATGGTGTAAACTTTCATCTTCATAGGGTAAGTCATTTTTCAGTTTTCACGCTTATCTGAGGTTTTTTGTGCTTGAGCATTTGGATTAACCTTCATGGAATACTTGGTCTTGAGGCCTTTACTCTCAAAAGTTTTAGCTTGTAAACAGTTTGACCTAATATTGTATGGCTATGACCAAATTATTCTATTTCGTATTTATTGCTATGTTTTCATTCTGGAGTTATATGTGATTATTGATTCCTGGTAAAAATTTATCATTTTTCTTTATTTGCTGTGATCATCTAGAGGCATTTTATCAATGTTTTCTCCTCTATATAATTGAGTTCTATGATAGTTGAGGACTGTATGCACACAGTAGAGCATAGATTTCAGATTTGTGATGAATGAAAAAGAAGAAAGAGATTGACTATAAACTGAAACTGAATTTGGATTTGCTTTTACCAGACAACCTCATGCCATGTATTGCTCTGTAATGTGTCCATATGCAAAAACAAGATTCCTTAAGCTTACTTCTGCTCATTTCTTTCTTTTCCTTTTTCTACCTTCTTAATTTTCCATCCTTGTTTCTGATCATTTCTGATGATTTAACCCTGCAGTTTAAGACAACTTCCTTGTGTTGTAAATAGCATGGGGTAGCTTTATCTTGTTAATGATGAACCATGCTATGCTTCTTGGGTTATTTTTTGTGACAGCTTGGTCTTTTTCCTATTGTTGTGATAGATGCAATTGTCATAGGTTTGCTTTTTCCTCTTTATATTGTATCCTATGTCTAAGACCAAGGTGGTGATGTTATACAATAAAATGTTAAGCTTTATGATCATTTATGACTGCAGTTTCCTCTCATGTCAAAATGTGGGAAGATTGCTTCCATCTTCGAAGAACTACAGAGTACCCATGATAAGACTTCTACCACAAAACTTGAAGAATTCCCTGGTGGCCCAGACACTTTCTTGTTTGCAGCAAAATTCTGCTATGGCACTCGGGTGGAATTTACAGCAAGAAATATAATAATGGTGTACTGTGCAGCAGACTACCTTGAGATGACATATGAGTATGGGGAAGATAATTTACTTTCAAAGGCGGAAAGTTTCCTCCACAAAAATGTACTTCGCAACTGGAAGGATTGTATATTGGCTTTACAAAGTTGTGAATCATGCATGCCAAGGGCAGAAAAGCTCCATGTATTACAGAAATGTTTGAATTGCATATCTATGATGGTTTGTACTGATCCTAGTTTGTTTGGTTGGCCCATGATGATGTATGGTAGCCTACAGAGCCCTGGTGGAAGCATTCTATGGAATGGAATAAACACTGGGGCAAGAATACGAAGTGCAGAATCCGACTGGTGGTTTGAAGACATCTCATATTTCAGTGTAGGTTTATTTGAAAGACTTATCAAAACAATGGAAGCAAGGGGTATTAGACCTGAACATCTAGCAGGTGCTATAATGTACTATGCAAGAAAATATCTACCAGGCCTAGGCCGATGGCAGAGCATGCAGAGTAGCAAAGCCAGGACAGTTGCAAGTTTTAGCTTGACTCCTGCCACTGTTGATCAGAAGGTTTTACTGGAAAGCATTGAAAAACTTCTTCCAAAAAAGAAGGGCAAGTCATTCTGCCGTTTTTTACTTGGACTTCTTCGTGTTGCATCAATATTAGGTGTCAATCGAACATGCCAGGATTCTTTGGAGAGGAGAATAGGAATGCAACTGGAACTGGCTAGCCTAGACGGTCTTTTGATTCCTTCTTACTCAGATTCTGATACTCTATATAATATTGATTGTGTTGAACGGATCATCCATCATTTTGTGTCCTCTGAACCAGGGTTAACATTATTTTCACCACCATCATTGGACCTAGAATCATCACCATCATCTGAGCCCTTAAGAAAAGTTGCTAGATTAATGGATAGCTATCTTGCAGAAGTTGCTTCTGATGCAACTTTGAAACCAGGAAAGATCCGTTCTCTTGCGGAGGTCCTTCCAGAATCTTCAAGACCTTTGCATGATGGGCTATACAGAGCACTGGATATTTATTTCAAGGTTCAAATATATGGGACCAACTTTTGATTTAAATGGAGTTTATTCTTTTCAAGATTTGTCATTATTACTACCATTGTGCAGGCACACCCTTGGCTTTCTGATAGAGAGAAGGAAGAACTTTGCAACATCATCGACTACCAGAAACTCTCTGTTGATGCTTGTGCCCATGCTTCCCAAAATGAAAGACTGCCGCTCAGAATCATTCTGCAAGTCTTGTTCTTTGAGCAGATGCATTTAAGAACGGCTTTAGCTGGCTGTCTCAATGTCTTGGAAGCTGAAAGTGCTCCTACAGTTCAAGGGACTGTACCAACGGAGATGGTTGGTCATGTGACTGCAACTAGTGAGACAGCTGGCCAGATTGTGCAAAGAGATGGATGGGTGACAGTTGTACGTGAAAACCGAGTTTTAAAGGTGGATATGGAAAAGATGAGGTCTAGAGTTGGAGAACTCGAAGAGGAATTCAGTAAAATAAAGCAAGAAATGAAAAGGGTGACAAAATCACATAGCTCGCTGAGTTCCCCCCGCATGGTTGCCAGGAAATTAGGATGCAAGCGTCTTCCAAAATCCTCAGATGCTCAAACAGATGTTGTTGGAAGCACGGGACCAACTCCAAGACCGTCAGTCGAGCAAGCACATTCTTCCCGTCATTCCAGGCATCGTAAAAGTTTCTCCTTGTTTTGAGAGTTAACACGTGGAAACTAACATCGGTGTTTCAACAGATAAACAGTGGGTGGTTGCTATGTCATAAAAGTCACTCCAAAGAAAGGAAAGAATTGTCTTGTGTTGTACAGGAAATAGTTTTAAAACGCTTGAAAAGAAAAGAGATTCATATCACCTACAGTTTTGGTGTTACACTTTTCTAATTATGAAATCTTTACCATTCATGATTTTCGGGTTCATTAAGGTTTCATGTGGTGGCATATTTTCATGAATGGTCAAGATCTCATGTGATATAGAATTGTAGGAGATAAGATTGTTGGTGATATGAACCTTTAACAGCTCTTCTTGAGTTCATTAATTGGATGGGTGTATTTATTCATTAAGGATATTGAATATGTGAGTCTGAGCCCTCCCTGTTGTGGGGCTTAAAAGTTAATAGGTGTTGCCCTACATGTTCTGGGTTGGTGCCATCATGGAAGCAAATAGGCCTTTGTTTTTTTTTCCTGTTTTAAAGGAATCATTATCGTTCTTCTTTGTAATCTTCATCTTTCCTTTATCTTTCTATGGTTTACACATGTACAGCTTTGTAAATCAAGTTGTAAGTTTGTTTAAACATTTAGTAAATATCAAGAAACTCAAGTTACTGTTTGTCCAAAATTTTGCTTCTTTTGATATATATATATATATATGTCCAAAGATGTTGAAAATTTCAGGCGATTATTGAAAAATAAAATCCTGCAATACATGCTTGAGCTGTAGTCGAGGCCGGTAAAGTCGATTTGGTGTTAGACTAAGTTCAATTGAGTTTCATTTTTTGTACTTGAGATTGATTCTGATTTAGCATCAGAAACATCTAATTATTACATAAAACTTAAGGAAATAGTATTTCGTGTATTTTTATTATATTTTACATCAAAGTTATGTATTGTAATTTGTGATGACATAAAAATATAAAATATAATTTTCTGATTTTATTAAATACATATATAATTATTATTAAAATTTTAAGTCTTTCTTCTCCTAGAATAGCATTATCGTGTGGGTAGAGTTTTGATTAATAAACTAGACTGATAATAATATCTACTTAACGCAATTCATAACCCGTCGCTTTGGCCGAGTGGTTAAGGCGTGTGCCTGCTAAGTACATGGGTTTCACCCGCGAGAGTTCGAATCTCTCAGGCGACGTTTACTCTTTTTCCCCTGCTCAACGTGTCACTAGTATTTTTCTGTTTATTTTACTGAAAAAACCTTCCAACAGTTGGCAAAAAAAAAAAGGACAATAACCATGTTTCGCCACGTCAATACCCTTTTCTACCAGCGTAGCACCTGATTAAAACTCACTCGGTCCATCCGCTCGGAAAGCCCTCGCTCACTTCGAAGTTTAAACAAAAGTAACAAAATAGCTTCTCCACCGTCTTTTGATCCCGTGTGCTGTCGCAAACATGTCAATTTCAACACCGTCAAGCTACAAACTATCAACTTTCTCCAACGGTGGAGGCAACGATTCAACGACGATCAAGGTGATCGGAAGTCGAACTTTCGCTTGTTTCAAAGAGATTTTCGATATCGAATCTCGGTTGAAATTAACTTCACCACCATCAGTTTATTCGCACCGCTTAGCGTTAACTAACCGCGCGTTTACGCGTCACTGCGTTCGGCCGGATTCTGCTGGTAACAGGACTAGTAGCTCATTGGAAGGGGAAAATGGTGATTTTGATGGTGAGTCTAGGGTTTTAGAGATTGGAATCGATTATCAACAGAAAATTGACGGCGGTAGCAGTGGCGACGGCGGAGATGATGGAGGCGGTAATTCATTTGGTGGCGGCGGCGGTGGTGAAGGTGACAATGAGGAAGAGAAAGAGTTCGGGCCGATATTGAAGTTTGAAGGGGTGATGAAGGAAGCGGAAGCTAGAGGAGTGAAGCTGCCTTCGGATATGATGGAAGCTGCGAAAAGTAACGGAATCCGGAAATTGATCTTTCTTCGTTACTTGGATTTACAGGTTGGATTTAAAAGCTTGAACTTTTGCTTTTCGATTGTTGGTTTTGTTTGATTGATGAGAAAATGGAGGAAAAATGAGCTGAAAGGAAAGTGGGAATCTGTGTCTTTAAGGAATATAAATAAACCAAGTAAAAGTCAAATAGTTAACCAGGACGTTTTATTGGATATATATAATTGCTTATTCACCAGCAACTAAAAAGAGAAATTCACTTCATTTGATATTGAATAATAGTAGAATTACATAGCATAGTGTTTATTCTGGAATAACAATATTCTTAGGGGGTAAAAAATACTTTTAAATTTTGGGTTAGTTAAATTAAATACTAATACAAATTAAAGGATGAAAAATGGTTACAATATGTTGGTTCTAGCTAGTTTCCTGCTTTTCCTCTGTTTTATGTCTGCAATGTTGTTAATTGTTTTTATCAATTTTTATGAGTAGGATGTTTTATGCTCATTTTTTTTACCTTTGGTATTGGCAGGGATCGGTTTGGCCACTTGGCTTTTTTATGAAACACTGCTCTATGCTTCGGAACCGAATGCTAGCAGATCCTTCATTTCTCTTCAAAGTTGGAACAGAGGTTTGTTGAGGGTATTTTTTACATTTATTTATAGGGTTAGATAAATGTTAATGTTTTCTCAAAGTTTTCTATATGTACCCATGATATAGCACTGCAGATGTACTGACCATTAACATTCACCATAGGCCTTGGTGGTTGTCTCCTCATTGTGCTGTGATTAACCTGATAGGCCTAACTGTAGCTTAGTGACATTTAGTTGTGGTTATTGCAGATTATGCTGAGTGTTTCATGGTGCTTAATTTTTCCAGTTTTTAATTTTTTTTCTTTTCTTTGTTTGATGTGGCATGATGCAGATAGTAATTGATTCTTGCTGTGCAACATTTGCGGAAATAAAGAAAAGGGGAAATGATTTTTGGTCAGAGTTTGAGTTGTACCTTGCTGATCTTTTGGTTGGTGTAGTGGTTGACGTTGCTTTGGTTGGTATGTTAGCACCATATGCTCGGTTTGGTCAACCATCTGCATCCAGAGGTTTATTTGGTCACTTACAACATGCTTGTTCTGCTCTTCCTAGCAGGTCATCATCACATATCAACCGTTTATGTCATATGAAATTCTGAAATCTTACTTTGATGGTTATTTTTAAGTATTAATTTGAGTTTGTTTGTTGATTGATGTTCTTGCTGATTGATACTAGAGTAGATTTCATACTTGAGATATTTATTGCTTAGGCAAAACATAAAATTTAATTTTGCTCTTCTTCCCCTTATCTAGTTCCAACTTTATCTTTATACTTTGCACAATTGTTTAAATGGTTACAAAAATTTAACTTACAGTGAACTATTCTGGCAGTGTTTTTGAAGCTGAAAGACCAGGATGTAAATTCTCAGTGAGACAACGGATTGCGACATATTTTTACAAGGTATGCATTGCCGAGTAATCAATGACACCTTGATGGAATGTCAAGGCAGGGAGGTGGTGTTGCTCCATGTTCTGATTAAATTATGATGTTTCGTTTAGTTTAGCCCTTAGAGAATTGGTTGTAGAGTATCTATTTCTTGCACCATTAAAGCTCTTTGCATTTGCTCATCTGGTTTCTACTAGCAGTTCTGCTGTTACGATATCATCCCTTATTTTTTCCTCGTTAAGCTAAAAAAATAAAGATCAAGGAGCATAGTATATGTTTTTAGTTTATTTGTTGGTTTATTTTGGATCCAGGGTGTCTTGTATGGCTCGGTAGGGTTCAGCTGTGGTCTTGTTGGGCAAGGCATTGCAAATCTGATAATGACTGCCAAACGGTACAATTTTATCTCGATACTTCTTGTACCTGTTCATGGTTCCTTTAAACCTCAACTTTCTTGGTGGTTTTTCCTGCTCAAAGTTCCGCCTAAGTTTCTAGCCGCCAATAATTTGGGACAAGAATTCAGTATGTAGGAGATCTAATTGGCTTTTCCACTTCCTCCTACTGAACTTTGAGTCATATCTCTTTCATGGATGGAATATCTGTGTATCTATTAGTCTGTCCATCTATCATCTTAGAATGATTTAGGATGGCTACTAGCTCAACTTATGTAATTTATTCTGGCATCCTAGTTAATTCAGTATGAGAATCAATTCGAGGACATCATATCATCTGCATTCCATGAAGCAAATAATTGCTTGATCATCTTGCAGAAGGAGAGTGACACAATTGCAAGGCAAAATTTCATACTTTTCAATGATGAAACATTCTGCATTCATGCACATTCTTTGGATAGACAGTTATTTTTTTCTATGATTCCTTTCTTTTCGTTGTTTTTTTTTTTTTTTTAATTGGACAAACTTCTTAACAATGAAAATTTTAAGGTGCTTTATCTCAAAACTTTAATAGTATTAACTGTTTTTGTCATTTCTTTTTGAGGGTTTTGCTCACTTGTATAATCATCTAAATGATCAGGAGCATAAGGAAATCAGATGAGGACATTCCTGTTCCACCTCTTGTGAAAAGTGCTGCTCTTTGGGGTATGTCTAGACCTATTTAGATTCCAACTTTTAGATTCAATCTCGTATTACTTAATAGTCCATTAATCTTAAAGACTATTTAAATTACATTCTTGTGGCCACTCATAAAAAATGGAGTGGTGGAAGTAGTTGGAGCCTTGGAGGAATCAGTGGATAAAGGCAGGTGGAATGCCGGTAATGCTATTCAAATTATTGACTGACAACACTTTTTTTTTCATATTTCTGAAATTTTTAACATTAAAACTCACTGACAAAACTAGCTAGGAGTTTAGTTAATAATTACCATATAGATTCAAAAACTTTGGACTGCTATTTGGTTTCTTCATCCTGCTTAATGTTTTGCCATCTGAATCAGGTGTTTTCCTCGCGGTATCTTCCAACACTCGTTATCAATTTATTAATGGACTAGAGCGTCTTGTAGAAGCATCACCCGTTGCCAAGCAGGTTCCACCTGTTGCAATGGCTTTCACGGTAGGTGTACGGTTTGCCAACAATATTTATGGTGGAATGCAATTTGTAGATTGGGCCAAATGGAGTGGGGTGCAATAGGAACAATATCCATTCTCTGCCACAGCACTTCTTGGATGGGGAAGACCCACCAGGATAGCACCCAACAATCAAAATGAACCCCAAAGATGGAGCAAAAGAAAAGAATTAGAAACATAGAATGATAGAAGCATCAGTTGAAAGAAGTAGATTTTGCATTGATTAGCCTTTTTTCACTTGCATGGATGGCCAAAGGATTCCATTTTTTTGGTCAGCATTGATGTTCATGTTGAAGGTTGATTTTTCTTCTCAATGCTTGGACCTACCAATAGAATTGAGTTCCCTTTCAATTCTTCTCATCTTACCCCAACATTTATATCTGAAAAAAAGAAAGCAATAAAAGAAAAAACTTTGGATATGCATAGATTACTACTACAGTTTTGAGGCAAGCATTTCATACCGGGTTGAATTGAAATGCATTATGAGGACAATTTGTATATTTTCTTCGTTTCACTTGATTCAACTCGTTGAAATCCCTTTCCCTACCTTCACAGAAAAAACCATCTCTTCTTTTTTGTGAAAAAAGATTTAAACTTCACCAGCATTTTCGATTCAAGTCCTTTTGAAGGCTGTGAAAAAGTAATCTTTCATGAATTTTTTAAGTTTTACCTAGATAAATCTGCTTGGATAGGATTGGAGAGAAATATATTCGGCGAAATTTAGGAATTCTTTAGGGCTAAATAAAAAAATTTTTCTAATGACTGAAAATTTTTTGAGATATGCATGATGTACCGGATTTAAACTATTTATGTACACATGATGTACTGGATTTGAAGTCTCAAGAATCTAACTCTCTTTTATAACGCATTTTAACAAATTCTTTCTTTTGTAGCACTAATATTTCTTTTCTTGATTATTAATACCAGCTAATTAAAAAAAAGGGGGGGTTATATGCAATTATGCACAAAGTAGAAAATTTTACAGGAACAAATATGAAAAGTTGGTCAATTTCACCTATTAAGCATCATAAGCATATATCATTAGTTTTTTTTTTTTTTTTAGATGATTTTACTGCCAAAGAAAAACGTTTTAATTAGCTGTAAATTCTTTTATTTTTTCAAGGTTAAAATTAAATCTTTTGTTTGGGTATTAATTTTTACTTATACAAATGGAAATCCACTAGGCCTTTGAAAAGTGAAAAAAACAAAAATCTTACAAAAGGTAAAGGTTAAAAATTTTCGAATGAAAGGGATGGAGTAATTGTGGGCTCGAGCCCAACTTATTACCCACCGTACAAAAATAGCAAAATAAACTAATTAGACCCGATCCGGAATAATAACACCAAACAATAATTTTCAATCGATTAAAAACAACAAATGAAAGAAAACATATAAAAAATTAAATTAAAATCGAGTAAAATAAAAGTCGTCTCCAGCTAGTCCGGATGGCTTTTGCCAATTTCTGTTCCTCAGTCCTCTCTTTCTCTCTCTCGATCGAACGAGATATTTCATTTCTTCCGTTTCTTTTAAATTCTATTTCGAAATTTCCAATTTTTTTCACTACCTCATTTTCTTCTTAAAAAATTTTGTTTTTTTAAATGCCGGATCGATTTCTCCGTTGCCTTTGAAAGAAAAGAGAGAAAGATCTGGAAAATTGAGAAGCAGATCCAAAAGGAAGAAGAGGTGGATCTGATCGATAAAGTGGAATGGCAATGCACGGGATGAGAGGGCTGTCGATTTTCATAAGCGACATTCGAAATTGCCAGAACAAAGAGCAAGAGCGCTTACGTGTCGATAAAGAGCTCGGCAACGTCCGTACTCGCTTCAAAAATGAAAAGGTTAGGTTTTCAAATCAAAATTTTTATTTTTTTAATTTAAATTTTATTTCTTTAGAATGATAGGACTTACTTCTAGGTTTTAAGTGTTTCCAGTATAATTTTTTTAATATAACAAGCGGTGAATTTTTTTTTTTTTGTCAATTGGATTTTGTTGGAATTTATTTGAGAGCAAAATGTGAACTTAGTTAAGCTATTAAGTCGATTTAGGGTTTATCATTGTGTTATTTATTTTCTTTGTTAATTTTTAAATAAAGAAACTACCTTGTTATGTTTATAATAACTTTTTAATTAAAAACCTATGCATTTGTAAATGCCATAACGTGTATCAATTTTTTTTCGATTTCCGTAGACTATTAACAACAACTTATAACAAATAAGTTTGTCATAATTTTATTAGGAAAATAATTCCTCATTGTTTCATAGTAGTAGTGGTAGCTGTTTGAGGGTGAAAACTGATATATTTATAAGCTTTTACTGCCACATTCTTCGGATTAAACCTATGTGATGACTCCATTTTGAAATGTTTTCTATAAAGGTTCATAACAATCAAATCTAATCTCAATAAGAAACCTAAATTGCATTTATTTTTGTTACACATTGAGTATTTGCTCCAGCTTCAAACATGCTAGAATGTTAGGTTGTACTCTTCTACAGGAATCCGAATATTTCTTTTCTTAAGGGCTGTTGGGTGAGTTTCAGCCAGGTCTCCAACCCCAAGAAAGTAACCTTGTTGTTTTTGTATGAAGTTTCTTTTTATTTTCTTTTCTGCTTTTATAGTTGACTTATTCGAGAGGAGTTTAGCTCAATCTTTCATGTGACATTTAAATCCTAGAGCCAAATTTGTCCAAGCACTGCCCATTCTCTCTAGAAACGTTTACATGGAACCTTTTAGTGCCTTGTTAGGTGACAAGGTCTTTGTAGTGCCTTACCAAGATGAGTGAGCAGTTTCTTATTGAAAGTTCATTTTCTTCTGACAGGGGTTGACACCATATGAGAAGAAGAAATATGTTTGGAAAATGCTTTATATTTACATGCTGGGTTATGACGTTGATTTTGGTCATATGGAAGCTGTGTCCTTGATATCTGCACCAAAGTATCCAGAAAAGCAGGTAAGATCCATTTTATTTTCCCTTTAATATGAATAGTAGCACATTTAGGAAACATTAAATGGAGGGCAAAACCTAGTGGCCTCACGCTCTACAAATGACATTCTGTTCAAGAGCCTGAAGAAGAGGAAATGAGAAAAGTTGTATGACCAAGGCCTAAGTTGTTATAAACATTTCCTTTTTCCCCCAAGAAAGAAAGAGGGGAAAAGGGCCAACAAAACTTTAATGCATAAAGAGCTCACAAGATAACATGTTGAAATGCCTCAGCTTTTTCTTACTGCTTAGAATCTGCACTACCATGAAAGCTTTTTCCTTTATACTCATCTCAATTACTGTTACATGTAACATGTCTCCTACAACAATAAGGCTGGCAAGTGATTGGTACTGTTGAAGCAGTATAAATAACCATCATATTATAGTATCTCAATCTCGGAAAGTATTTGAATGGGGCTGCATGATATCAAATAAAGGATTTATTATGGAAGCCTGGATATATATGGATCGGGTACTCTTGCAACCTTTTCACATAATTGAGCTTATTGGGTTTATCATTGTCAATAAAAGATATAATTCTCATGTTCCATATTCTTGATACAGAAATTTGCATGTTTCCATTTTCTCTGTGGTTTATTTAACATTTGTCCTCCTATAATTAACTTCAGGTTGGATATGTTGTGACATCATGTTTGCTCAATGAAAATCATGATTTTCTGAGACTAGCAATCAACACTGTACGCAATGATATAATTGGTCGAAATGAGACTTTCCAGTGCCTAGCATTAACCATGGTAAGGGTAAAAAAACTGCTTGAGGTTCTAGATGTCATCCATGTAATTAGAATGGGAGAGAATTATATTTTATTTACAACACCAAACTGCCCTACATGCTACGTACATAGTTGAGATGCATATGGAAAGTTCAGATTAGGATTTATTCCATGACATTTTTCTCTTTTCTCTAGAGAAGTTTTTGTTCACTTTTCTAAATATTATTCATGACTTTATAATTTATATTGTAGCTCATTGTTTCTGGATCTGCAATAGGTGGTCCTCATCATCATTATCATCTAATTCCATGAGGAAAGTCAGTGTTCTAATGCTTCATGCCTCAGATGTTACTTAGTAGTCTGTAAAGTTTTTAGTTATTGATGTTCTGATCACTCTTCTCTTACCTTTTTTTGGGCTAATTTATGGACACCTAACATTATCCATATTGTTATTCTCATGACGTTACATCTACCCTTTTCTTGAATTGACTCTGTAGGTTGGGAATATTGGTGGGACGGAATTTGCTGAATCTTTGGCACCTGATGTTCAAAAGTTACTTGTGAGATGAACCAGAAACTTGTTAAGTTCAAATGCTTCTTTTAGAAAATAATTTACACTGATAAAATCTGTTATTCCAGCTTTCTAGCAGCTGCAGACCACTTGTACGAAAAAAAGCTGCATTATGTTTGCTGCGGTTGTACAGGAAAAACCCTGATGTTGTCAATGTTGATGGCTGGTATGCTAGAATGTTAAAATTTTATCCCAACTGGCTGTTTTATGATATTCTGAATTGCTATTCTTGCCCTATGTTTTAGGGCGGATCGGATGGCTCAACTTTTAGATGAGCGTGATCTTGGTGTTTTGACATCTTCTATGAGCCTTCTTGTTGCTTTAGTATCAAATAATCATGAAGCATATTGGACTTGCCTTCCAAAGTGTGTTAAAATATTGGAGCGCCTTGCGAGGAACCAAGATGTTCCACAGGAATATACTTACTATGGTATCCCGTCTCCCTGGCTTCAGGTTTGTCCTTCTGTTTCACTCTCACGACTTATATGAATTCGATGCCAAGCTTGAAAAAAAAAAAGTTATGTGCCTGGTCTGATTAGTGTGTCTAAATATGTTAGTGAATAATTCCTTGATTTCCCTCTTGGATATGTTTTGCACTAGGCTACTAGGTAATCATGTCCAATTGTTTTCCATTTTTCTTTTCCTATGTCATTTTTGATGTGGATGACTTTGATTATTAGTAATTATTGCCAACTCTTTTTTGGTAAAGTTCATCTTGATGTTTATTATTTTCTCTTATAACAGGTTAAGTCAATGAGGGTTCTCCAGTATTTTCCTACCATTGAAGACCCGAATACCAGAAGAACATTGTTTGAGGTTTGAACCATCACACAGAATTCGGCTTTTGACTTTTTTAAGATTATTTTGATATTGATGGAACTTGAATGCTGATTTCAGGTCTTACAAAGGATGTTAATGGGAACTGATGTTGTGAAAAACGTTAATAAGAATAATGCATCACATGCTGTCCTCTTTGAAGCCCTTGCTTTTGTGAGTTTACTACTGAGTTTTAGTTTTAGCATGTGAAATTTATTATCAAAGACATTCTCTGACATTACATGACTATTTAGGCTGTCAAACTGGAAGTGACACTTGTATAAAAATCTTGCTGAAATTCACCAAAATAGAGCTTTTAGATGGATTTCATGTCTTCTGTTGTATGACAAGAAACATTCTGCGCTTTTTAGCATCCACACATACATATTTTGCCCATATGTAAGTATGGTTAGAAGTGGGTTCATATGGATGATAGCACTCTCAATCTGCACATGCATACAAGGAAAGAAAAGCATAATGGTTTCAAGGTAGCAACTTATCTGCTTTCTTGCCCCTTTATGACACATTTTAAGCTATATAATTTACCCCTCCTCGTCCCTCTGAAAGCGTACACATCATATAAAGTATACAACCATATAAATGTCGCTCTTCTCATTTACTAAGCATGTTTGAAGAGTTATTTCTTAAGTTGTGTTGTGCGTTTGCTCTTCTCATTACAGGTCATGCATCTTGATGCAGAAAAGGAGATGATGTCTCAGTGTGTTGCACTTCTTGGGAAATTCATTGCTGTTCGTGAACCAAATATTAGATATCTTGGTTTGGTAAGTTGTGGAAACATCTTAACTTAGTTCTCTTTTAAATGATCTTTTCGAACGGTAGCAGATGTGCTCATATGTGCCAAATCAGGATGGTTACCTATAACCTAATGATTTACTCATAGTTCTTAAAATACTTGGTTGCAGGAAAACATGACTAGGATGCTAATGGTTACTGATGTGCAAGAGATTATCAAAAGACATCAGGCTCAGATCATTACATCATTGAAGGACCCTGATATCAGGTTGAGTTTCTGATTTTACAGTTCGGAGTATTGATGCCACTTAGATTGTTATTTCTGTGAATCTTTTTGTGAATCATTAATATTCGGAATTAAATCTAGGTAACATCTATCTGGTGGCCCCATGTAAGATATTTGTGAGCATCCTTGCTTATGCAGTTGAAAAGTTTGGAAATCACCTTATACGTGGTCTTTAATGAGTTCCATATCTGACTAATTGACATGACAAGTTAGTCACTTAATTCAAGTGTGAAACCTTCATCTATACCTAAAGTCTTGACTATTGGCATGTTTATATAAATGGCTTCTACAGCTGTAAACAGTGATGCATGCAACTTCTATTATCTTAATTCAACTATATGTGTTTCAAATGGTATGTTCTTAAGATCCATTGTTGTCGACTAATGCCAGTATGGAATTTCCAGTATCCGTAGGCGCGCTCTTGATTTGCTTTATGGTATGTGTGATGTAACAAATGCAAAGGACATTGTTGAAGAACTATTGCAGGTACTACAGTCTTGAACATGGAAAATTTTACTTTGGATGATCCCATGGATAACCTATTTTACATATAACTATTCAAATGCTGAGGCACAAGATGAGAATATCACTGACTGTCATCTGTTTACCAGTATCTGAGCTCAGCTGATTTCACAATGCGTGAGGAATTATCACTTAAGGCTGCCATTCTTGCTGAGAAGTTTGCTCCTGATCTGTCATGGTAAGCATATTGGGAGAAAGCAAGAATTAACAGATATGCTTGAGTGAAAATTTTGTACTTCAGTGTTTTCTTTTCTATTGTGTTCATTAACTTCATCAGATTGGTTGCATTCCTCAACAAAATAACTAGCTTGCCTAGATCTTGCAGGTATGTGGATGTTATCCTTCAGTTGATTGATAAAGCAGGAGATTTTATTAGCAATGACGTATGGTTCCGTGTTGTGCAGTTTGTTACTAACAATGATGACCTACAGGTGATCAAAAAGTCTTTAACACATGTAGTTCTGCTATTTTATAACAGAAAATATATTCTTCTTCTTTGATGGTTTTTGGGCTGAGACCTTTATATTTATGTCCAGCCTTATGCAGCTGCAAAGGTGAAAGAGTATCTGGACAAGCCTGCTGTCCATGAGACCATGGTCAAGGTTCGTAAAATTTGTAGTTCTTTTTACCGGACAAGTTGTGTCAGTGTGGAGTAGTGAATGGTGCATGTGAATGGTTTAAATATTTCATATGAATTTTTCAAAAGGCAGTAAACTATTAGCTTCTCTGGGTTGGTTTGTCTATCCTTGGGCAGTAGGAAAAGCATATTGGATTGCATTAGAGATCTTTAGCGATCAAGACTGATATTTATATTATGGCTTACCTCTTTAAAACCCAATTCTGGGATTTGTAATTGAATTAGCGTAGTGGCTTCATTTGCATCAGTCATATCCATTTTCAGGTCATTATTCTTTCTCAAGTATCTAAAGGATTGGCATTTCTTAACATATTCTATGTACAATGAACCGAAATATGCACCATGCTGCATTAAGTTTGGGTGCCCCTTTCTCTTGTTATTATTAACCAAATTTAATCAGATTTCATTATTTGTGTTAATCTCTTTCTAATTGATTTTATTTAGCACTAAACTTGACTTAGATATGTATATTTCAGGGTTAGGGATATTGTAAGCTTATTTTGAAATTTGTTGTATGTATCAAACAGGTCAGTGCTTACATTCTTGGAGAATACAGCCATCTTCTGGCTAGACGGACTGGGTGTAGTCCAAAAGAAATCTTTAGCATCCTACATGAGAAGCTTCCTACAGTATCGTAAGAGCCTTTAAACATTGATTCTTTCTGTTTGGTTAATATTTGCTTCTCTATTATTGTAATATCTTATGATGGATATCATGTTTCAGGACTACCACCATTCCTATTCTTTTATCAGCTTATGCTAAAATTTTAATGCACACTCAGCCACCAGATCAAGAACTGCAAAATCAGATTTGGGCAATATTCAATAAGTGAGATTTAGTTTTTGCATATTTTTCTCTCTGGTTGGTTAATATCTCATCTATAGTCTGTTTGAAATTTGAAAATCGCTAAACACTATTTTGTAATTGTTAACTTAGATATGAGAGTTGCATTGATGCTGAGATACAACAACGAGCTGTTGAATATTTTGCATTGAGTCGGAAAGGTGCTGCTCTAATGGATATATTGGCTGAAATGCCTAAATTTCCTGAGCGTCAGGTTTGTGTTCTTGGCAATATTTGTTTAGAAGCTGCCTGCTTCTGCTTTGAGTTGCAGGCAGTCCATGTATAGTCTTGATTCAAGTGACAGTTAACCATGCTTTTGTCTTCAATTTACAGTCTTCATTGATCAAAAAGGCAGAAGATTCTGAGGTTGACACTGCAGAGCAAAGTGCTATCAAGTTGCGTGCTCAACAGCAAACATCAAATGCTTTAGTTGTAACTGACCAGCGCCCTGCTAATGGGGCAACACCATCAGTACCTGTCAGCCAGCTTAGTCTCGTAAAGGTGCCCAGCATGATAAGTGCTGAGGTTAGTTCTTTTGGAATCCTAGTGCATACTTGTTTTCTAGGTTTTTTTATATGTATACATATTTAGTACAGCTTTTGTTTTGTCTAATTTGAACTAATATATATTTGATTATCTTGGCAGGATCATACTTCAACAAACCAAGCTCTGTCTGAAGAAAATGGGACTTTACGCAAGGTAGATCCACAACCTCCTTCAGCAGATCTCCTTGGTGATCTTTTGGGTCCACTGGCTATTGAAGGCCCACCTGGTGCTACTGTCCGATCTGAGCACAATGCAGTCTCTAGATTGGAAGGTGGTCTGGATGCAGTGGATGGTTCAGCCATCGTGCCTGTAGAAGAGCAGACAAATACAGTTCAGGTACTGCTTTCTCATATAATGTTTACCCATGGTCAAATCTCTTATTCCAAGTTCAAAAATCAGAATGGAACCTTGACATGGTTCACTTTCAATGTTGAAAAAAGTTGTTTGTAATTTTGTGTTCTACTCTCGGTGGGTCTAAAGATGGGGAAATTTTATTTGTGATCCTACCTCGTAAATAGGCCTCTAACCCACTACTTCAAAAATTGTGCTGCAGTTTTGATGACTCCATTCCTCACCTTTTCTACTTGTGCTTGCTGGCTGCTTTTTGTGGTGGGACACAGCTTTCTTTCTTTAGTTCCCTTTTGCTTTTATCCATTATCAAAAGCAAAGAGATTTTTTTTTCCTGGTTTCTTGAGAAGAAAATGAGGTTGGGGGATTGTACTGTTGGCTGCTACCTTAGAAAAAGTTCTTTCCCATGTTCATTAGATGTTGCTCTCAATTTTACATCTTCTCTGTCTGTTCCTAGTTTCTTCGTTGTATGATTTTAATGCTTTTTTTTCTTTCCATATCCTCAAGTCTTAGTACAGAGCTTCTATTTTTCAATTCTTTGCTTAATTTTTTCAGTGTACTTGTTGTTATATCCTGCAATAAATTGTTGAGTGACGTGCAGCAGATATTTCCAAACAAAATTTAAAAAGTTTAGTCATTGTTAAATTTGCTTGACGCTTCTAGTAAGTGTTACAGTATTATTATAAGTTTTAGTAGTTAATTTCATTGCTTGCATCTGCAGCCAATAGGAAATATTGCTGAAAGATTTCATGCTTTATGCCTGAAAGATAGCGGTGTTTTATACGAGGATCCTTACATTCAGGTATGAATTTTTTACTTTTCATATTCTGTAGTTTTTGTTTTCTGCTAGTTTGTTCCTCAGGTTGTACTCTTGGATAATATTTTGGTTTTTCAAGTTGGTATAATGACTCTTTTAAAAGCTTCCAAAAGGTTGATGCTGATTTTTCTCACTCAACATTACTTTAGATTGGTATTAAAGCAGAGTGGCGAGCTCATCATGGATGTCTTGTTCTTTTCTTGGGAAACAAGAATACAGCTCCTCTCATTTCAGTTCAGGCTCTAATATTGCCCCCTGCTCATCTGAAGATGGAGCTTTCGTTAGTGCCTGACACAATACCTCCTCGAGCACAGGTGAAAAGGACTCATTGTACTTGTAACTAGTTACTAGTTAATGGTTATTGATGAATTTTTAGTCATCTCATCCTTGCTTTTTCTTTTGTATTATCATGTTTTTTTCATGGTTTGTGTAGGTTCAATGTCCACTTGAGGTAGTAAATCTTTGGCCAAGCCGGGATGTAGCTGTTCTCGACTTCTCCTACAAGTTTGGAACCTATATGGTACTTGCAGATAATTGATATATTATATACTGCTAAACCATTAGTAACTGGTTAATTTTTACTATGCCAGGTATCTTATTGTTACCTTTTACAGGCTAATGTCAAGCTTCGCCTTCCTGCTGTTTTGAATAAATTTCTTCAGCCTATACCTGTGTCCGCCGAGGAGTTTTTCCCCCAATGGAGATCACTTTCAGGACCACCATTGAAGCTTCAAGAAGTTGTATGTATATCTCCTGTTTTACATGTCTTTCTTTTTGGTTGGGGGAGAGAGAGAGAGAGAGGGAGGTAAGGAGCCACACCTACGTGTGTAATAGTGTAAACAGCCATTGTATGATGAGTCCTGTTCTGTGTATTCTAGTTCATATTATTATTTGCAGACTAGTTCTTTTGACTGATCTATTGCTATTTGCTCCAAATTGTGCAGGTTAGAGGTGTAAGACCTATGCCTCTTCCAGAAATGGCAAATCTACTCTACAGTTTCTGGTTAATGATTTGTCCAGGGCTTGTAAGTCCTTTCATTTGAATAACCCTTCTGCCATTTATATAGGCATTGTTCACTATTGGATTTTCGGTTTCAGGATCCAAATCCTAATAATCTAGTTGCAAGCACAACCTTCTACTCAGAGAATACACGTGCCATGCTCTGCCTGGTAAGATATATATTCTGCTCAAGCTATATGGTTGTTTTATTGAAATAGTGAAGCTTGGTGGTAAATCTGAATGTACATGACGACATCTAGGAAACTCTTACGCCCTTTTCCCTTGTTTGGTAGTTATTTGATCTGTATGGTTTGTGTTGTGTGTATATTCTGGTTTAAAAGGTGCTGAATTGTTGTGAAATTACCTACCTTTTCTCCTTTTTTGGCTATAGCTCCTTTTCATGCCTTTATCTTAGTGGGTCACCCTAATTGAATTTCCACGTGTAGAGAAATCTAGTCTTCGTCTTATAACTTGCACTTCAAATGATTATGCATGAGAAGCTGGTGAAGGTCACTTCTTACAGCCTTTTCTTCTGTAATATTCAGATCAGAATTGAAACAGATCCAGCAGACAGAACCCAGTTGCGTATAACACTTGCTTCAGGCGACCCTACATTAACATTCGAGTATGTGGTTAAACTTCACACCAAGTTAGATCAAATCCTTTCCGATGTCAGATTTTTCTTTTGATCTGCAGGTTGAAGGAGTTCATCAAGGAACAAATGGTTAGCATGCCTACGGCTCCTCAGGCACCAGCAGCAGCACCACCAGTGCCTCCTGCAGCTCAACCAACACCACAAGCCCCACAAATACCAGCGAATGATCCTGCCTCTCTACTAGCCGATTTGCTGTGATGAAAATGAAGATGACTGAATGCAAAGATTTGTTCAATATGCACTTATAAACCTTGATTTTATACAGCCGGCCCACCCATTTGCCCTTCAGTGTATATGGAAAAATCATGATGCAAGGACTGACGGGATCACAGATGAGCTAAATATTGTTTCGGCTTAGTGAAGAAGGGGTTGGTCGGGATTTTGTGATTCTTTCTGCACAATCATATTGTGCCTTGGTGAGATTTTTTTTTTTTTAAAATGTTTTACGGGGGTGAAGGTTTTCTTGTTCTTCATTTTTTTTTTTTTTTGCCCTTATTCCATTTCTTCCCAGTTTTTCGAGATTGGGTTCTTTAGTACCGATGTCATAGCATGTAAGATATGGCATGAAGTAGGATCCATTGTATCAATGTAATTCGTCTGTCAATCCAATATATTTTTTAATAAGTTGAAGTATAGTGGGGGAAGTATGAGTACGTGGAATTTGATCATATGCAGTTTATCATTTTCACTTTTTTTTTTTGGTGAAATCATATCCAGTTTTGGTTCTTCTGCCCACGTGAAAAAGGGTACCCGACAATTGAAATTACCACGCATCAAAATCAGTGAGCTCCCATGTCATTATACTTGTCCTCTCTGCGTTACCCAATTCGATAAAAAGGTCTGTTCCAGGAACAAGATTTTGGGCTTATTCGTAAGCTGTTCCCAACGGCAACCATTGATAGATCCCCATCTATTCTGTCATATTCTCCTACTAGGTTACAAGTGAGCGGTCCAAGTTCGACCCTCTTATTTGGTCGATGGGCCAAGCTAAGACCATAGCCTGGGCCATAGAGTAAAAGGCCTAAAGGACAAACTAGTCCTGGAACAACATGGCCCAAACTATAACTTTTAAAAAAAATTAAAATTGAAAGTCAATATTAAATTTTGTAACATCTTTTTAATTTTGCTGAATTTTGAACTTAAAATATTTGTGAGTGCTATCTCTCAATTTTTTTAATTTTTTAACGTAATCCTTTTCCAGTACATGAACATCAACATTAAGCCGAGTTTCGAGTATATAGCAACATGAACCATCATTATTAAGTTGAATTTTGAGTAACATAGCAATGGTGAGTGGTGTGAATGACATACCTGCCACTATAAGTCAATATTGTATCTAGTGGTGGAGTGCTACTTTTCAATTCCAATTATTAAAATTCAATTTCTGTGAATCTCAACTATCAAAAAATTAAAAAAAAAGGAAATAATGCAAAAGAAAGAAAGAAAGAAAAGGGCAAAAGAAGGCTGTTTTGAGTCGTAGTAACGTCTTAAATCCTTTGTTTATCTTAAAAATTGGGACAATACTTGGGATTTTGATTTATACAAAAATAATGCCAATCAGATAAGCACAACATAAAATAAAAAATAAAAAAAGCTTGCTTATCTTTCAAGCTCTTCGTAAATATCTAAACCTTGTGTTATCTTTCCCTTCATCTTGCCCTTCAACGTATTTCTCCAAACGATTGGAATGACGGTCTAGTTTGTCTTTTTGCTTCTTCTGATGATGAAAGAGCACCCCTACTGATCCAATCATAGGAAGGTCTCAAGAAGCATCAACAAAAAAGCCACTGCAAAAGATGCACAAGTTTCTCATCCTCGAGAAACCAAAGCAACGGGGCATTGGGACTTTAAGTTTCCTCCACCACCAATGCGTAACCTCAATGACCACTATGGTAAAAAAAAAATTGTCACTTTGCCTCCCTCTAACAATTAAACTAACAGATACAGAAGACAATCTCAAGCCAACTAGCGCCATTCTCGGCATCGGCCACACCTCCAGTTGCCTTCTGAAGACGAAGATTCATCCCAAGGAGAACAATGGCTATGAATCAAAAACCCACAAATATCACAATAAAGTTCAGGAGCAGGTTCATTCTGTAGACACATATGACAATGCAGTGTTTTAACATCAGAGTTCATGGGTTCCACTTGATTATCAAAAGTATCAATTTCGCACTGTTCAGGGACCACATCCTTTGAAATTGAACAAGATGCATTCTCCCAGTTTCCTGGCCCATCCCCCGTTGCATCATTTCCATCAACTTGACCACCATCATCAGATGCTAGCAGCTCAGTAAAAGAGAAATATGTCTGCGGCTCAAACTCCATATCCTCATAGTTTAGACTTTCATAATCAAATAGCAGCTCACCTTCAAGGCCATTGCCAGAAACATCCCATTCTGCAAAAGGAAGCGATGAATCCTCCTTGGGCACCACAAAATCATTAGGTTCAGGACATGTGGACAATTCAACAGGTTCAACATGTTCAAGATCACCCCCAGCAAGACCATCCACCTCCCCTTCCCGCTTCATATGCCTTCTGACTGGTAACTTCTGCAGCCCAGGGCCACAAGCACTATTCAACTCAACATCCACTGCTGAATTGTTCTCTGTTATTTGGTCAACTTTTGAAAGGGAGAAAAGATCAGGATCATTAGCCAGTACAAGCTCATCCTTTGTAGAGATGATAGGAGTGATGGAATTACACTCTTTAAAGTTGGAAATAGTTCCAAAATCAGAGTCCAATACAACGCTTCCTTTCCCCTGTTTCTGCGGCTTTCCAAACCGTTTCTTGAACTTTTGCTCTCTAAGTTCAGGGTCCATGAAAGGACACTCAGGTCCTCTTATCCTTCGACACTTGCAACATTTGAATCCAACCACATCAAAAATCCTTGACTCCTCAAGTTCAACAGCCTCAGCATGGTACCATTCTGCAAAAAAGCATACATTCATCATATACTAAAAATCGAAAGAATCTTTAAAAAAAAAAAAAAAAAGGAAATGACACTATTGATCTTACTTCTGCAAGTTTCACAGTGAATATACATCAGATCAGAATTATAGGGTTGTTCACACAGCTCACAAATAGGCTTCAAAAAGTGGTTATCTGAACCACCCTTTGTGAGAATGTTTGCACGCCTGAAGTCAATTCCAGTTTCATTACTGTTCTTTTTCCTCCATATGACACCCCAATTACACAACTTGCTTCGTTTAGCTGCTAAGCCAGAAAGAGAAGCAGATTGCTTCATATCAGAACTTCTTTCTTGAGTTCTGACAGAATTCTCCTTAATTCTGATAGAGGCCAGTGGTTTTATGGGCTTAGTAGAACCTTTAACCTGCATCCCTTTGGTGACTGCTGGTGTGCTGTGACAGTCTCGTCCTTGCATGGACAACATGGTGGTAGGAGACTTGGTATTTACTTCATTTTGAGCAAGAACTTTGGCATGGTAACACTGCTTGCAAATGATCAAGCACTCAACTTTCCCATTCATATGCATTGAGCTTAATGTACAGTCCTGATGACAATAACCTGATAACAAAATTATTTAGGTAGACATTCAAACATAAATCTAACTCTGCAATAATAAATATTAAGAATCCCACAAAGAGAGGCAAAATGCATTCATTCCTGGCAGGTTGCGGACATGAGCATGGAAAAATTAACATAGAAAGTCAATTACACGTTCACAAACAAATGAACATCTATAATAATAGGGAGGCCCTACCCTAGCTTAACTTTTCTCCTAGATTACCTATAACAGAATGGCTTGTCCTTTTTCAGTTTATTGCTAAAACAATAAACAGTACAACTGGATTATGCAATAGGCAGGCAGGTTACCGAGCAACAAGAAATTATGAATATAATCTCATACATAGATGTTGAAAAACATTAGAAAAGATGATTTTAGGAATCCCAGAGATAAAATTAAGAAACAGACTATTAGTACAATAGATAATTTAGAATAAGTTCTAAAGAGTGGTTAGCATACCTAGGCATGTGCCACACTTGACTGCATTCCTGATTATTGCATAACAGAAGATAAATAAGCTTAGAGCAAGGAGGCGGAGAAAACAAAAACATCGATATCAACAAAAAATAATATTTGACAACAGTATAAGGTACTTACCTCAGTAAAACATCCATTTGACATGAAGCACAAGAACATTTCTCTAACTTATCTCTCCTACAAATCAGATAAGCAAATATATCCCTACGCGAAGCTTTCAACTGCCTTCTTTGTAACTCAGATAACTCACTGAAAGGCTTCTTAACTGATGGCAAAACCACATTACTCATTCTTTCTTCATATTCTTTGATCAAATATAAAGGGATGTGTGTTATAAGAAACCAATATTTCTCCTTTCTGTCTTCAGTTTGCTCGATGTCAATTATGTTCTTCATGACACGTGAAGGAAGATGCTTTTGATTTCCAAAGGCAACTCCATATTGGATCTTGCTTTCCACAGTTTTCTTATCACAAATAATTGCATTTCTAAAAACAGATGCTTCAGTCTCGGAACCTTTTCCATCCGGGATGTTATGCTCAGGACGAACAAGATCATTCCATCTCACATGATGGTCTAGGTATCTAACCTGAACCAAAGTCCAATTGAATTTTGTTATACTTCCTGGCAATCCAGTACACTGTTGGACACGGTATTACAAGGAATAGTTCATTCAAACATAGCAACTTAATGACAAACCTGAAGTGCAAGCTGCGCTGCATTTTTGCTCCTTTCTACTGCAGCTCTCCAAATTAATTGTCTGCTTCTTTTAGGAATCTCTGAATCGTCAACATAATTAATACCAGAAATCTTTTTCACAGCACCTAACAAGTCACAAAACCATTACTCTATTATTTTCTTCACTTTCAGCAATTTTATTATTAAAAATAGCACATTACACTTTCTATATTTCATAGATACCTTGTTGTGCAGCTTTTCTGACCATTGAGCCAGGTAAAATGGCTTTCTGAAATACATGGGTTGATAACTTCCCTCCACGCCACCAATCAAAACTTTTATCATCACAGTCATCAGCAGTAACTTCAGATGCAACAGATTGTTTCCTACATCGCCTTCCACCTGGTCCACGTTTCTGTGGCAATCCCACAGTTGATGAAGTGCTTTGAATCACAGAAGGCTCTACTACCCAATCATCCATTAGCTTGATCCAGTCCTCGGAAAGAGCAATAACAGAAATGTTCTCCTCAAGCTGAAAATGGAGACCAAAAGCCACATCAACCAAAAAATAGAGAATATATACATGATGATGAATCCATATTATCTAGTACATCAGGAACCAAGTGTAATGAATTATGCAGCAAATGGCTTCTCATCAAATTTCATGTATTAGCTTACTACTCCAAAGAACATGTTACAAGGACACAAGGGTTACAAGAAAGTTTAAATTATTAATTGGAAGATAAAGAAAATGATGTTATATGAATGTTTTAACAACTAAAGATGAATTTGAGACAAAATGTTATAGATGGAAAGGAAGAGGAAGCAAAATAATTAAGCAGCCTTCTTAAACTATTAGTAGTGGAAACGAGAATAAGAGTAAGGAAAGACTAGACTAAGTGCAAAAATATAATGTTCTTGCAAAGAAGAGATAAATGATAACATTGGAAAAACTATAATTATCCTGATAACCTATAAACCCGAAGTTTAAGTTAGTAAGAAACCAACTACAATTTTGTCAAAGAATATGACAAAACTAATAATCCAAGAGGGAAAAGTAAATAAATTCACACCTTCCACATCAGTTAAGTTCTAAAACAATCCAGAATTTTAAACCATACAGTAAAGATAATTGAAAAAAAAAAAACAATTTAGTTGACATGGGCTAGGCTGACAGTATTACAGGAAACCTTGAACAGGAAAAAGAGGGAAAATCAAAATAAGGTGCTTTTAAATATAAGTGTGAAGGAGATTAATGAATATACACACACACATCTATGTGTGTGTGTGTATGTAAAACTCACATCAAGCAAGAGGACTTTTATTGCACTACAGGTTGAAGCTTCTCCTATTTTTCTGCGCCATTGTTTCCTATAATCTGGGTTTAAGAAGAAGCCAGCTACAAGACCACGCAAAGTCTCCTCCAAGTATAAAATATATGTCGCAATGCTAGGAAGACTACCCTCTCCATTCTTTAAAGGAGGAAGACCAGCGAGGATCTTATTGGCACTTTTAGTGGCAGCGGAGACAGCAGAATTCAACATGCATCCTCTCCTGCTTAAAGATGGGGCCTTGCAAGAATGACACCAGCCACACCTTTCCCTTGGAACATCCAACAACTTCTTTTCAGCACTTGGCCAGAAAAACCGTGAGGCTACTGATGAGAAAGCTTTTACTTGCAGCAAAATGTCATTTGCAGATGTAACTTTTCTGGCACTGCCTGATTTGTTTACCTCAGAAATCTGACTTTCCTCTGATGAAAGAACAGCCAGCTTAGCAGCTGCAGTAGCAGCAAAATGCCCATAACTGTAATGATTTACATAAGCAAGTGGTTTAAACGAAATCCCCATGTATACATAATCAATAGCAGAATTTCTTGCATCCCTTCCAAAACCCACATGATTGCTCACTTTGCTCTGGCAAAACACACCATAACTGTCACTACTGTTTCCTGAGGCACATGAAGTATAATCTACGACACTTGATCTGTCAACTAAGCTTTGATGGGTTACATCAGAGACAGTTTGCTGGCTAACTGAAGCAGCAGACAGAGCAGACTCAATATAAATCTGCTCAGATAGCTTCTTATTCATTGGAGGATTATCCTTCACTCTCATTGTCCCACCATTGTTCATAAAGCCAGGAGGGTCAGTTTGGTTCATCACATCCATAGAAGTATCTGGACACGAAACTCCCACATTCTCCACATTGCTTCCACTGAAGCTACTTGCATTCTCAACATCAACTGAATCCAAAAATTTATGACTTTCCTTTCCAGAAGGCAGAGGTGATCCAGTAGAAAATTTTGCATCTTCCTTTATATTTGCTACATTGCCACCCATTTCAAGTGGAGAGAAAATATTTTCTGGCACATTCCAATAGAGTATAATTGCTTTGCATATATCAAAATATAATGTTTTATACTGAATGGATGAAGAAAGCACATGGAGGATTTGTGGAACATCATTCAGATTGTAGTATCTGAGATATGATCCAGTGTCAAGAGAAGCCTTGAGCCTGCAATTATCAAATTTGAAATTGTGAACAAAAATGTAGAACACATTGGAAAGCTAATCAGAAAAAAGGATGGATCAATGTCATGCATATCAGCACACTGAGTAACTTAAGTCAAAGGCTGGAGTAACATGGACAAACAACTCAACACAATGAAACTCTCTTCAAAAAGGAGACAGTTAAATAATAGAACAAAAAATAATCAGAGAATAATTTCAAGTCAAAGACAAGAATGTGTTTCACAGAAAGATACCACTCAGAAGAAAGGTAGACCTGGCAACAATTTTTACTAGTGTAGAATTAGAAATAGGTTTGAAAGCTTACACTAGCAAGTGATTACAAGTACCCGAGAAGACTTGCCCATATAAATCAACACCAAAAAGCTCTGCTCCTCTAAGTGACGTGTTTACTGTAATTGCTGGACCCATTTTATCAATTGCACATTCTGGACAATACCAGGGCCCTTCAGGTATATACATTTTCATAACACCTATACATCTCGAATGATATGCAGATGGACACCCATCACAACAAAGCAATGTCCCATCCATGCCACAAAGACGGCACTCATCACTATTTCCATCTACATCAGGACCAACACTAGCAGTCCCTTCAGTACTTCTCAAACCCAAAGAATATGTTCTAGAAGATGACTTGACCTCATGGCTCTCTGCAATAATCTCCATTGCCTCCCTCACCTTGCATGCTGAAGTTTTAGAATATCTAGGATGAACCCTTCCAGGTCCTTTTTCAGGATGATCAGCCACAACTGCATCAGGATCTATTCCCACTTCTGTTGTCTCACGCATGTCAATTTCAGCTCTCAGCTCTGCATATTCTAATACATCATCACATAGAAGTTGTAGAATCATCAACTTTCTGCTCACATGTAAGGAATAATACTCTCTCTCAGAGACATCTTCATAAAATCCTTTCCCCTTGGGTACTCTTGCATATCCCATTACCATAAAATACTGGACCAAATAAACAGGCCAAGTCAGTGTATCGAGCAAGCTCCAGTCAAGGCACCTGCAGATAAATAATGTAACAATTATTTGAATTTCTATTGATGAATGAAAGCAAGAACATTATATATTTTCTTTTCTTTTCTTCTCTTTTCCTTTTCTTTTTTTGGTTGGAGGGGAGGTATTAAGATGTCTCAAAAGTTGAATCCAATCTGTTTCAAAGAGAGATCAAAGCCATTCTCAGTTGCTTTCAAAATTGGAGGAAAAAAGTGCATCAATTGCCTGATTATAAGAATTTGGCAGTTTTAGTCATCCAAAGAGCACACAAGTACTCATGAAGGATTGGAACAAGAATTGATTTTCTCTCTATTTTTAAGGGCTAAGGACCACCTTGCATTTTTAGCAAGAAAAAAATAAAAGTACAGTAGATTGTAGTGAAACCAATTTTGCCATAAAACATCCCAATCACAAAACCATCACATAAATTAAAACAATGACATTAAAACCTAATTATCTACTGATTTGTAAAAATGTATATACACACCTCAAGCATTTTGATGCAAGCTCTGAGCCTTCTGAAGAGATTGTTTCAAGATGACAACTCAATGCCCGCATCAAAGCAACATGAACAGAATCCAATAACGGGTTTGGAACAGAACAATTTAATGACCCCACAAAATCATCCAATCCAAACGGGCTTAAAAATAAAATGATGCTAAATGACCTTAGAAAACCATACACAGAAAACAGATGCAAAACGCACTCCTCTGGCACACCAATTGTTCCCGAAGAAGGAGGCAACATTGGGGGTGGAATAAGAGGAACCTCAACCTCCAAAGACAAATCCCTATCGCGTGCATGCTCACAAGAATCACTAGAAGAATCTGCATCATCTTCGACTTGCTCCCCATCATTCTCAACCATCATTCCACCATTCAACTCGCTTACAGCCGAAGTTTCCAAGTCATCAACCTCATTTTTCAAAACCTCCACTTTCTTCTTTTCCTCCTTTACAATCCTGCTTATCACTAATTCATCTAATCTAACTTTTCTTCTACTCAAATCATCATCGAAATAAGACTCTTCTAAGATCAACTCACGAAGCTCCCCACTTTCCAGATCCTCAAAATCACCATCTTCATAATCTACTCTATACAATCCAGCATCGTAAGAAACAATCTTCCCTAGAAAAACAGTTTCCCCAAATTCCTTCAACACGTATCGACCTACAAGGGCCACGGATCTTGTCTCGAATGCCCGCTTTTTAGTTTTTGAGTTATTAGATTTGATATCAACAGCGGCACTTTCATCTTCTTCTTCTGGCCTCCTACGTTTCCTTGGTCTACCTCTAGGTCTTGGTACCTTAGGCTCCATCGATCGATCGACCCGATAACAGATCGAATCGAGCCCTGGGTTTGATAAAACTATTTTCCGAACAGCCCCTAGGGTTTCCAGAAAACCTATTGTTTTGCCCTAATTAGGCTTCTCTTTTTGAATATTGAGCGATCTAGGAGCTCGTGGAGATCCTTTAAAGAAGTTATAAATAAAGATTAAATAAATCGATGGTTTTTAAAAAGGAATTATATGAAAATTAAATTTTTGAGTAACGAATAAGTGTAATTTTTTAAAACGAACGTTAATTTACGAGGAAGAATTATTGAGAGAGATACCTGGTTAGGGTTTGTCAACCGCCATTGAAATTTTCTTCTGTGATTTTAGAGATTTGAGAGAAAGAGAGCCCTAATAAGAGTGAACAACCGCCTCTTTTATCGCGCGTGAGAATGTGGGACTTCGAACTCGGTTTGTGAGTTAGCGATTTGAGCTCGTCCGAGTTGGGGAGTGAAAATTCATGATTTATTTTTTTGTACGGGATTTTTCCTTTTGTATAAAGAGGGGTGATTTTGTGAGGCCGTCCTCACGGTTATGATTTATGAAAGTTGTGATGATAGAGCTTTATACACAATTTTATTTCTTATTTTTACTGCATATTTTGTATAAAAATAAAATATTTAACATTTTGACAAAAATTTTAAAAAAATAAAAATAAAATGATACTATGTTTTTATATCAATTCATATTAAATTAACTCCAATCACTTATAGTACTATGAATTAAAAAATGTTTATACGTTTCTTTATGCTTATTTTATTTTGCTTTTACGGTGTGCCAAATGTTGATGCAATATAAAGTCATTTTTAATATTCTATTTTTACTAATTAACCTTTTTGTGCTATGCAGTAAAAGGTAAAAAAAATAACATTCTCAAATGCAAGTTTAGATACTTCACAGTAGCATACGTCTGTATATGGCAAAAAATAAATAAATAAATTTTGTTCTTTCAAATGAAAAAAATATATGGATTTGGTTTAAGGTAATATTTAGTACGGATGATTAGATAATTACATTTGGTAAATACTCAATGATTTTATATGACAATAATTTTAAATTATTGTATTGAAAGGTGATTTAATTACATTTAATAGGATAGGAAATTTTTATCAACAATAATCAATCTTACACATTTAACATGTAAATTAAAAGTTTACTTTCTTTTAAATTTATAATTATTCTATATTATAATTATTTATATTTTAAAATTAATATTTATTGTAATAAGTTCAAAAATAATTTATTTGTTTTTAATATTTTATATAATATAATTTTTTTATTTTCTTTTATTATGAATTTAATATATAAATTTTATTTTTTAATTCAAATATTTTTTACAAAATTTATATTATAAAAGTAATTTTTAACATGTGAATTAAAAATTTACTTCCTTTTAAATTTATAATTATTCTATATTATAATTATTATGTTTTAAAATTAATATTTATTGTAATAAGTTCAAAAATAATTTATTTGTTTTTAATATTTTATATAATATATTTTTTATTTTCTTTTATTATGAATTTAATATATTAATTTTATTTTTTAATTCAAATATTTTTTACAATTTTTATATTATAAAAGTAATTTACCTATCAATAATTTATTTATTAATTTAATGATATTTTATTATGAAATAGATAAAGTATTACTACTATTTTACAAGTTATCATAGTTAAATAATATTAAAATAATCAACTTGTATAACTATTGTAATATGTTTGGTTTTTTCCATTTTTTTAATAAAATAATTTTTAATTTTTAATAATATCAAATACTATGATCTTTAATTACTAAGTATTAATAAATATTAACTAAATAAAATAATTCAAAATCACAAGTAATAAGATCACATTAATGATTATATTACTATAGTAATCTCGTAAAACATACCAAACATTACTCAAATACACTTTTCTCATAATTTTCTTTAATCATATATTGAAATATAATTATTTATCAAAATTTCTTCTTTATTCTCACTAAATTTGATGAAGTAAAAGTAAAAAACAAAGTGTTATTTAACTCTTTTTTTTTTTTTTGTTAAAACTTACAATGTTAGTATTATTGATGCACTTCTAGATTCAATAAGAATGAGTTGGTAAATTTATCGGACTTGTTAAAATAATAAAGTTAGAAAGACATAAAAAATAATTATTCAAAATATATTTCGATGATCAAAATCAATAAAATATTCAAAAAATGGGAGAGAAGGAAGCAAATAAAAGGAAATAAACTATTAAAAATGAAAAGAATGTTGCATGTCTAATTATGTTTCTCTTTTTATATTTAAGAATCGATAACATAATTGATTATATAAGTGAATATTTATACCAAAATAATATATTAATCATATATGAGTGTAGATGATTTAATCGTGAAAATATAACAATTATAACTTTATGTTTTCTTTATATTTAAAATACCTAATATTATTCATAAAAAATTAATGACTACATGTAATTTGTGGGACTCTAGTTACATCTCTCATAATCAAAAACAAAAACTCTTGCCGTTCTTCTATGCAAAATTTTGCTTCTTACTTTACTAAAACCAAAAATAAAAGCATGAATAAATGTTAATTTGTTTACATATATGCTTGTAAAACAAAATAAAATAAAACAATTTGTTTTCAGATATGGCTTGAAAATTTTGCAGAAAAAAAAAAAAAAAAAACTAATTCATGATTATTTGTACTTTTGACTATAACAACAACATATTACGTCATATATAGATTATAGCATACTATGTCAATGTGCGATAACAAAGTCAAACCGATTGCACCCAAAGCCAAATGCTCATGTCCATACATGATCCACTCCATCCTCAATGCGTGACCAAGGCACAAAAAAAAACCCTTCTATTAACTAAAATCGGTTAACAAAAAACGAAATTAAACACAGCAAATGATCGAATCGACTCAGCGTATAGGCGAGCCAACTCAGAGTTAGTACGTTTCGTGGATGTTCATAAATCGTAATGACTCAAAGCCCCAAAGAGTGAAAATATTTTGGATTGCGCACGCTTTTGTTCTTATATATTCACAGAGGGGACGGGAAAACAAGAAAATGGGGGCACAAAATTATTATAGCAAAGATGGCGGGAAAATTTTCCCCACTTTAAGCGGTCTTACCCGCCAAATAATTTTTTTAAATCTTTGAATTTTATATATGGGACCAACTATTAAGCGTCTTTAGCTTACATAAAATTTTCATCAGGTGTTTCATGATTAATTTTTTAAAATTTTAGTTAAAAATAATGTTATAATTTAATAAAAATTTCTCAAATGAAGCTATTAATTAACTTTAATTTGTTAAAGGCTAATGACGATTGTCACTATCCTATAAATGAGGTGAATTAATTTTTATAAACTTAAAAAAGTTAGATAATTGTTTGGACCGTGGAATCTTTTTTATGATGGAATTGAATTATTTGGATCATAAATTATCTAATAATAGAAGGATAATTTCTTCCATATGGGTGTAGTAAAATGTGGTGCAACCATTTTTATATCATTATTATTTTGGATAGAGATAAAATTTATGGCACATTATGGGTGAGTGAACATATCTTTAAATTTATAAATGACTAAAAGTAATAGATTTATTGTTGTTTAAGGACCAATGCAATAAAGAGCATGAAAAACAAATCCGTATATGTAAGTATGCCTTACAATTTTTTTAATTCAATTTATGTATTTTAAGATTATATTTGATACATAAAATTATTGATAGAATATGATAATAATAATTTTATATTATATTTAATTTGTATTTAAAGAATGGAACAAGAATTGTTAGGAGAATTAATATTCTTTTGGCATAGGATAATTCAATCTTATTCAAATGAAGAGAATTATTTTTAACCTATAAAATTAAATTTACATGTTCAATTATACGTATTGGATTATGTGGTTTAGCAGTCTCCCTTAAGGACTTGGTATGTTGATTCATCTGGGTGAAGTATCCAATGGTGGATCAGATTTCGATATATAGTAACCTAACCTGCTGAGGTCCAATGGGTGAGATATCCCATGAAGGTTTTACGAAGCCCTTTATGTCTACCTGTCGCTTAATACAGGCTCTACGCTACCAAAAAATAATAAAAAAATAGAGTTACACATTCACTATTAGCTATAGCTTTTGGTGTAGTGGTAAGCGCTTGATCATGAAAACTGGTATCAGAGCGAGGTTATAGGTTCGAGTTCCTCGGGTGCCGTTGGACGGGAGATTTTTTTATTATAGGGTCCAGCGGTCTCCCTTAGGGACTCGATATGTCAATTCATCTGAGTAAGGTATCCCATGGTGAATCGAATTTCGGTGTATGACAACCCAACCTACCAAGACCCAATGGGTGAGGTATCTCATGAAGGCTTTGCAAAGCCCCTTATGTCTACCTGTCGTTTAATACGGGCTCTACGCTACCAAAAGAGAATAAGAAAATAAAGTTGCACCTTCACTATCAGCTATAACTTTTGGTGTAGTGGCAAGCATTTGATCCTGAAATAGTCTTGAAATATACTTTAATAATTTATCCTTATTAATTCAATATTTATTTATTCTATTGTGTTGATGAATTTATGAATATTATGTGCTTAAATGGAATATATTGATTCTTGGTTCATTTATAGTCTTGGTCAAGATATATGCTTGTATGATCATTAATTCAATTTGACCTTAATGCTTGTGGTTTAAAATGCTTGAATTGTTAACCTTTTGATTTATGATTTTGAATATGATGAACTACTTACTTGTAAATGATATGTGTTATTAGTTTATCTATTGTTATTGTCAAGTGTGTGCATATATGATAAATGTGATTTTTCTTGACTTGACATGGTTGCAACATGACTTAAGTAAATGAATTTCTTATGATGCTTATTTTTTGCTTAAGTCATTGTTGATTATGGCTATAATTTGTGTAGACATATTTATACTTTTGTGCTAAAAATTTTTCTTAAATATGTTTTTTATGATAAATATATCTTCATTAAGTTTTTAGTTTTGATATGGTCTAAAATTTATTTTGGCATATTCTTCGGTGATTTATTAAATATATATGAATATTGAATATATCTTATTTGTGTTCAATATTTCTAAATGATCTAGAAATTATTCATATTTTGCACATTACATGATAACTTTTGCTTTAGTGCCATTCTTGTGCTATTTGATATTTAAATTAATATATGGCATCTAGCTTAAGTATATATCTCCATTGTAATTGACAACTTGTGCTTAGTGAATAAATTTTCTTTTACCTATAATGATTTAGAATATGAAATTATTTTTTAACAATTGGTATAATTTTTATCAATTGATATTCTTGATGCTATTAATGAACATTTTTTTTGTCAATAATATTTTATAAATCTATACTATGAGAATTTGAAGTGAGTATGAATGAGCCTACATTTTTTGAATTTCAAGTATAGTGAGGGAAGCATGTCATCCTCATCAATCAAGCATAGTTTTGCTCAAATAAAGTAGTTGGAGAATTAAAAGTCAAA